TACAATGAAAACTGAAAGTATAAAAATAAATGCTCATTTAAAAATATTATAATAGGTAGTCGACTACCTCTAAAAGTGCCAATAATATAAAATGATCCTGTTATAAGAACAGCAGAATCCAGGAACCAATGTTTCAATGCATTAAAAACAAGGTTCATTTCATTGATAAAATCTTGAACAACAGAACTAAGTGTCTCCCAAAGATATAGAAAACACAACTTTTGAAATTCCAATCATTGCTCTTACGCAAGTCATTCAGACTTAACCAGAAAGTGACGGCTTGCTTGTTAAGATGAGGATTGGAACCTTATAATTTGCATAGCTGTAAAAAAAAAAAAAAAAACAGTGACATCCAGCGGTCAGTAAGGAGCCCTTTGGGTTGTTATTGCGGGTCAAAATCTGTGTAGGTGTGCTTGTCATCCGAGACGGTTTCTAATGCCGCCAAATTAGCTGACGCACATTCACACAGAGTTTCCTCTTATCAGCAGTAATAACCACATCGACAGGTAGTAAGCAATTAAGAAACATGACCATTAGCCTAATTTAATGAGAGAGAGAGAGAGAGAGAGAGAGAGAGAGAGAGAGAGAGAGAGAGAGAGAGAGAGAGAGAGAGAGAGAGAGAGAGAGAGAGAGAGAGAGAGAGAGAGGAGATACAGAGATGACGCAGTACGCATATTAAAGTTTCTGGTTTCATAGGCTGTTCGAAAGTGAGAAGGACTCTTTTACACTAGCGTCAGGTGGAATGGTGCAGGAAATAGGCTAGTTTTCTACTTCCTTGGCACACAGACACTCAGCTAATGATGTCACAATGCAGCAATAAACTATATTATACTTCCTATTGGATGTCGAGTATAAACCCTACATACTCGTACAGTGTCTTCATTTGGGTTAAACAAAGGCTACGTCTCAAAACCTAGCAGGCTGCCTTTCTAGACATCATTTTTGGGCATCACAGACATGTTTTGAATTCCATTGCACCTATGATGCCCTAAAATGCTGTCTGTTATAACATGTCATGCACTCTTGAAAATAAAGATCGCATCAATGGTTCCATTAAGAACCTCCTTCCAAATCCATGGAACCTTTTCATTGCGCAAAAGGTTCTTTATAGTGGGAAAAGGTTCTTTAGATTTTTTTAAATGTTCTTTACACTAAGAAAAAATGGTTATTTTAAGAACTGTTCACCCAAAATGGTTCTTCTATGGCATATCTATGAAAACCTCTTTAGAAACTTTGATTTTTAAGATGGTTTTTTTATGGTCTGACTGAAAAATTGCTATTTGAAAAAGATTTTGCATGCTACAAAAGTGTCTGCTACTATAAAATGTCCATATATACCAAACAAATATAAACTTTATATCAGAGAATATAATTTTAAACGTATATGAAAAATATTGGTTTGTGTGTCTTAATCAAAAAGGCAAGTGTAAACAATGTAAGTTGTTACCTTTAGCCACTTCTTTTTTTTTTTACCTGATTTGACCCCTGAAAATGTACTTTTGTTGGTGTACTAATGAGATTATTTTTTGACAAGAATAAAACCAGTGTGTACGTATATGTTTAAGTCATAAAAAAGATTAGCCTAGTTATAAATGAGCAAGATAAGTGACTTTCTCTGGGCTGTGTCTCAAAACCTAGTAAACTGCCTACCTAAACAGCATTCTCATAAGCACCTATTTACACAGAAAGCAGCATCCTGACTGAAATGGTACATCCTAGGTGGCAAAATACGGTTGAGTCACAACCCCTACTGTACAGTCAGGATCCAGTCAGCCCTTATCCACAGTACAAACAATGTCTACATGCGCCCTAGATCAAAAGGCCGTCGCTCTGTTGAAGTCAATGCTGTGTTGTTGTCACAAGTCTTACACGCCTTCTCTCCACAATCATATTTCTAGTGACTATAGGCATCGTTCACTGATCCTATTGACTCTCTCAACCCTCGGTCTCAACCCTATCCAGTGCCAGTCGTCAAGTCTTATGAATTATTAACGCCTTTGGCCCCTGACCTGGCGATTCCGTGCGCGCTACCCTAGACAGTCTCGAGCTTTAACCCAAAACTCTCTCAGACAGACAGCACGTGGATGGTTAATAAAAAGTAATGAAGAGAGATCTTCCATTAGGCTACTTAAGTGACTCTCCAAAACAGACATGACCTTTTACTGTTCCTGGACTAAATGAATAAATAAATCCGTGCAAACAACCTCATGAAGGGAAAAAAAGGAAAAAGGGACGCAGGCATATGCAGTTTAACAACCGACACTCATGCACTCTACCGTTTTTCTCTTTAATGCGTAAAAGAGATTGAAAGGTTTGCGTTTCCAAACGGGAGAACGTGATACGCGCGCGCTCGATCACGGTAAAGACAATACCCGCCGCTCGCGTGCGCCATTAAAAATTCACACAGGAACAACTTTGCCAGTGTATAAAAACTCGTGGGGAACAATCGTCAGTAGTTCTTATTTTCTACACACTGAAATCACGCGTCGATAAATTAGCTTTGGTGTTAAACGCTTCTCTTTTCTGTTAAATGTTCTGAGAAGGACAGTTGACTGGGACTTGATTTAGGCTACTGTTGGCACAAAATATTTAAAAATGTCATAGGCTAGGCTACTCTGTCTAAAGCATCTACAATTATATTATAAATATGATTTTACCATTGTATTTATCTTTTATATAAGGTACTTTATATTTGATGTTTTTATAGGCTAGTATTTCATTGTTCACATTTTTATTTAAAATATGTATTTAAAATAACATAAACTTCTCAATAATCATAAAATAGCATATTATATTCAATTTTAAATAAACGTAAAATAATTTACCTTCACAACAACCTTAAAATATTATATTTATTTTAAGATTCATTAAAAATACCATGAAATACAACAGCAGCAGTCACTGATATCAAATATGTAATTGTTGGCGCGTACAGTCTTAATAAAACGCTGCGATTAACAACGATTCAAACCACAGAAGAATAGTTCAGTAAATTCGTAAAGATACGCGTTGACTGTGTGCGAAAACGGCAGATGTTTTCAGATTCAGCTGGCTGAGAATGCTCGAAGGGTGTTTCTAAAACGTGGCGTTGACACTTACAAAAACTCTCACAAGTTCAAAACTCAACGTTTTGTGTTCAACTATTAGTATTAGTCTGTAATGCGAAAGAAACGTATTTTGAAGCACTTACCCTAAAATGGGGACTGAGCGGATTGACAGTTCGCAGTAGCTGCAGTAAACCTCTTTTTTTCTTTCCCTTTTCTTCCCTACCTCCAAAAAAAAAAAAAAAAAAAAAAAACTTGTCAGACTCGAACCGCTGCCGAATCTCTTCCGTGATTTTTTTTCGTAAACGTTTTTTTTGCCCCTGACTCTGACAAATGAAAGGGCGTGTACCTGGAGGAGGGGAACTAAAGGACGAACTTATTTAGTTGCTTTAAACAGGACATTTGATCTTTGAGATGATTCATAGGCTGCATTTGATATTTCTAAATAATGATGTCTACTGCTGTAACATCAAACATTATCATACGTGAATGTAGTTTCACACTAGAAATTAAACTGGGAATCGTGGCTGAGGACGGTGTGTTTTGTCTGGAGCTTTAGTGGGAAGTACAAAAACTTTAACCCTTACCTGCACAATGTTTGCACCAGTGTCAGAAATTAACTAGGGCTCGGGACATAATGCCCCATTGTTTTATCTTTTACAACATTTCGTAGTCTTATAATGTAATGAATTTAGTGTCTCTTAAACATAGCTGTTAGATAAAAAGAAATAAATAATTTCCAGTAAACTGGATCAAAATCCTCTGTAATGGTATAGAGCTGTGTACACTGTAAAAAAAACATGTTTTTACATTGCTTTAAAATCGCTTATTTTGATAAATTATACAAAATTCAACTCATGTTTGTAAGTCAGTTTAATGTAATTTAAGTTGAAATGACTTAAACATCCAAGTTATTTATTTATTTATTTAAGGCAGCAACTTTTTTGTGTGTGTAATCTTCACACAGTGATGACAAATATTTCCAAAGCACTGAATGATTTGTGACATATTATTGGCCTAAATTTTGAATTATTCTTATTTAATTTATTTATTCAGTCCTAGTATGTGTCATAAATAAATGACACTCCGCATGTTTATGTATGCTTGGAGAATAAGGGTAAAAACTCCTCCTGAAAATCAATTCCAGGGGGCAAATATTTGCCTCTAATACATTAATTCACATGAAATATAGAGTCTACAAAGTGCTTTATTTTTTTTTTTAAATGCCGCAGGAATTAATAAAGTCAGGATTCTTGCTAACTGCTTTGTATTGTGATAAATCTCCAGACAGCCTTTTACAGGCCTCAGGGGAGACATATAGTGAATCATATCCCAGTGCCCAAACTTTACTATGATTATCTGTGTTTACAAGAGGCACCGCCTATGTAAAGTGGTTTGTATGACTGCTGTCACTTTGTGTGGACTATGGTCATGCCTTAGTCACGCCCGCCTCACATCTTTTTTGATTATGCTACACAAAGTTCACTTTTGACTCATTTTTATTTCATAAAAAGGTTCAAATCTTGATGCATCTCTCAAGGCAGTTTTAAACCGACAGCCAATGTTCTTCGGTCAGCTCGAAATTCTAACGTTTTAACATTTGTGTATTCAGTTTACTTCAATATAGCACTTGCAAATAAGATCTAAATCTCCCTTATTATCCAAAAGAAACCAACGCCCTTTCCTCAAGCCACACCTGTAAGCAAGGCAACTGCCGGCACCTGCGCTATATTGTGTTGGGGACTGAATGTGTCAATAAAGACGTATCGTAACTGGCTTTGACAGTCTAGATTAGAAGATCTGAATCTAAGCCGCTGTGCAATAGGATAGTTGAGGGCCTCAGGCTGGTGTTGGGTTACCATAAAATGATGCTATTAAATCAGATGCGCTACACAAAAGAATGGGTGAGAAGAATCTTATATTGCATGGTCAATAAAGAGGCAAGACAAGATTACCTTGAGAATCAAACAAAGCTTTCTTTTATTTTCCGTCACCTGGGAGAATCATTAACTGTGCGACAGCACGGCCTATGTTATAATTACATCAGGAAGTCACAAGGTAAAATTAAAGTGATTGGATGGCATTACGGAATGTTTCTTCATTGGCTAAAAGCCGCCATGTTGGTTCGCCACATTGCCAATAAGCTGCCAGAACTCCAGGAAGGTCAGCTCTCCGTCGTTATTCGCATCCAATGAGCTCATGAGCTGGTCAATGGTGGCTGGGTCAGAGGAATTCTGTGAGAGGACACATTGAATTAGTCACTTATATGCACTTGCAATGATAGTGTCTCCATCTAGTGATCGTCACTGGTACTCTGCATTCTTTTCTGCTGACCTATTAGTGTGTGTGTGTGGGGGGGGGGGGGGAGTTCCTGTTCTGGATGGGTCAAACAGTAAATGCTCTGATGTGGCATTTTTCCATTGTTTCTGGCATAGTTTAGATGAAGACATAATGAAAGCAGCTGGTTTGTTTCCATACACACTAGCAGTAAGTTCTTTCTATAATCTTAGAGTTTTGAAGGAAGGATTTGTGTTATTTCCTCCACAAAATCACAAACATGTGACTCACATGGAATTCTTTAGAGGACTGGGATGTGGTTTACTAATAACTCGCACCAGGCCTCTAAAATGGTGCTCTTATCCTTTTTGGTTCATTCTTCTTAAGTCTCACAACATAATGCTGATCAAACACTGTAAATAACCTTCATTTTATTTATTTAAAAAAAAAAAATCCTAATTTAAAAGATCCAAATATTATTATTAAAGGTCACAGATAAAAAAAAAAGAGTAAAATAATAATTATTTTTGTAGTAAAATTCAACATGCTTTTACACCAATGTTACTTTAGTATCATTAAAATTGTTATATTTGTATTAATAGTTTGAATTGGTTTTTATTTTATATTTTCCATTTAAATTTTTGATCAATGTTTAGTAATTTTGTTGTGTTTTTGTCATTATTATTAGGTTTTCTTTTTTTTAATATGTCTACATAGTCTTTCAATATTTTTAATTGTAGCTATAGCTAAAAAGAATAGTTCTTTGCAGCACCTTAGGTTTAGCAGACATGCCTCTTCTTAATAAGAACCATTTTGAGTTGGTTTTATTGTTCTGTGGAGATTTAAAGTAAGAAGGAAAAAAAAGCTTTTAATGTTACATGATTGGTTTTTAAGTTCAATGTACTGGTTCTGTACTTACGAAGAACTGGGTTGCAAATAGTAACTTTATATTTAAAGGGAAAGTTCATCCAAAAATTAAAATTCTGTCATCATTTACTCACCTTCAAGTTGTTCCAAACCTGTATGAATTTCTGTATGAGCGCAAAAGAAAATATTTTGAAGAATTTCAGTAACCAAATAGTTGAAAATGTTGAAAATGTCCTATGGAAGTCAATAGGGTCCATCAACTGTTTGGTTCCCGACATTCTTCAGATCTTCTTTTGTGTTCAGCAGAAGAAAGAAATTCATACAGGTTTGGAACAATTTGAGGGTGAGTAAATGATGTCAGAATTTTTTATTTTTGGGGCAAACTGTCCCTTTAAGTGTAGACCTGAATTTAGGAATATGAAGTATTCTGACCATTTGTTATAACTCAAAAGGCTTACCTTTACGAAGTTAGGTAACTGGGATGTGACCAAACTCTGAAACTCTTCCTTACTCAATGTTTTTGCAGAGCCATCCTTCCCGGCATAAGTCTTGAACTGGGAGACGAGCACGTTAATGGCAGATTCCATGATTTAGGGAGTAGGATGGTTCGGTGGCTGGAGATTACAAGGTCATATACAGGTTAGTAGTCCTTTCGAATAGACAAATCTGGTGTGAGACTTACAATAACCTTATTTCAAGTGTATCTGAGGTTAAAACACAATTAAAAAAAACATAAATCAGGATCAGTAATAAATGTGCAAAAATATGTTGATCAGGTAAAATGAATTTTGCTTATTTTTATAGGGACAAATCTGTCATCTCTTCCTCATGCTCATGTTGTTCCAAACCTGCATGATATTTAGCAAAATCTCCAAGCTTTTTTATTAATACAGAGAAAGTGGATGGTGATACACCACTTTAATTTTATGGGAAAGTGCAGCTTGAACATTCCACTAGGCAAGTCTTTGTGTGTCTCACAAAGAAAAATATACACGAGGGTGAGTAAATGATCCAATGATGTTCATCTTTAAGTGACCCCTGACCAATTAAGGGCAAAAAGGTATATCCTGTGCATACTAAAAATGATTCAATAAAAAAGTGAAGAAGTATCATAGGCTTACCTGGCCTGAGGAGTGATGTTCTGGCTGGAGTTGTGTTTAAATGACCACCTCTCACCTTATATTCTCTTCATCTGACCGCCAAACTCAGCGGAAAACCAAAAATCACGCCCACTGCTCCATTTCACAAGTCAGGATTTTCTTATCTATCTCCTGCTTAAATGTTTCCATAGCAAAGTAGTTTAGACTCTCTTTCACACACATACTACAAACAAACGTTTGTTTCACTATATTAGTGAGGACATTAAATAGACTTCCATTGATTTTAGATCAGATAATGGTATTTTATATCGCCAAATCCCTACCCCTAAACACATCCCTGACAGAAACGTGCGCAAAACTATAAATAAAAATGTGTGTTTGGGCCAATTTATAAGCCTTTTTACGTAGTGAAGAACTGTAAAATGATCTCATGGTTGGTTGTCATAATATTTCACTATATAAGTGAGGACATTTGGCCCTCACACACATTGTGTTTACATGTGTTATGGGGAGTTCCCATAGACATAATGATTTTTATACTGTAAAAACTGTATATTCTATTCCCTAACCCTGAACACACCCCTCATAGAAAACGTTTAGCATTTTTCCATATGATTTATAAGCGGTTTTCTTCATAGGGACCAAAAATGTCTAAATGAAACATTTCGTCCTCACAACATTGGCTTCACCAGGACCACACACACAATGCATTTATAGAAATCCAGAAGAGAAAAATAAATAGCATACAGCATTGTGGTTTATGTTACTGAGAAAATGTCCTATTTATATTTGTTTGTGATTATTTCTAAGCACAACCTAACATGTCTGTTGATTACTCTACACCTCCCTATCAGGTTTCCTTAATGTTGTCAATCCAAACATCTGTCATCAGGGAAACTTCATCTGATAACTCCATCAAAACTTACTCAGCACCAACAGACACACACAAAGCCCTCACTAATACGTCTCCTGCAGATCCGTTTTAGAGGTCAATACTGAACGTGCATGTATGCAGAATATTAACCCAAAAAGGTCAATTTAATCATTTTAAACGGGAGGTATGGTTTTCAAAGGTAAAAATACAAATGAGACCAAAAATCCTCAAGGAATCACCCATTTCTGATTTGTCCGTTGTAAATAAACAATGAAATAAAATAAAATGAACAATGCAATCCCTTAATAAAGAAGAATTCTCATGGCAATGGGACATAGTTTTAATAATCATCATAAATTGATACATTGTGACATTTGGTCTTGTATTACCTTTCATTTTAAGTGGTTTTAAGTTTCCTGTCATATTAAATATCACTGTGCCATATGATAACTTAACTTAAATTATAAGTTCCATTCCTTTTTTTTTTCTCTTATATTTACAAATTGGACAAGAAAAGGCAAAAATGATAGGTATTCACCCCAGAAGAGTGCAGCAAAACAATAACACAGCTATAATCAAATGATCTTGATGATTCATTACAATGGCTGTTTTCCTAAGATAGAAAGAGGATATAAATAAATGTCCACATCACCACAGTGCAAACTAATCAATTATTGAAACTTTCTCCGCTTCCATTTCATTCTTTTCAGTATCAGCATTCTTTGCTCACTAGTAAAGGCACATAATCTAACATATCAAATTCCATAAAGGAAAGAAACATTCAGTTTGTTTTGTAATTTAAATTAAGTGTGAGCAGAACTTGAGTTGGGGTAAGAAACCGAAAAAAACGAAAGCTTACAATGACCTCTAAAATCTCTGGCGAAAAAAAAAAAAACTTAAAAAGAAACCAGTTTGACACCAGCTTAGTAAGCAAAATCATGGGTAGGTGTGAAGAAACCAGGATTTAAAACAAAAATACAAGATTAAAAAAAATAACTAAAATAAAAATCCTGACATTCTACATTTTATTGTTTTTAAGTCGATTTTGGGAGCTCAGGTAACTAAATAGGGACAATCTTTTGCACTTCATTGCACTTTCCCAGTTTAGCGTTCATTTCGTTCACAACTCCACATGTTCTAGGTGATTGATCTATCTGCAAGTAAAGCAGTTTCATTCATGTGCAAACACTTAATGCTTAAGATGACTGATTCTTTACACAGCAAGCAAGAGTCAAAGGGTTTGGCGTTGAAAAACAGGACCAAGGGAGGTAGCTTACAACAAAACACCCAACACACAGGTGGGACTTCACTAAGAACAAGACTCCGAAGGGAGAATCCTCACACACAATGCATTAAACTACATCTACAGTCCGTAAAGACCAGGGAAAGTAACAGCTAAGATTGTTTCCTTATGTTTTCTTTCACTTAGTGTTTTTCCCATCCGTTCAACTTAGTTTCTAGGGTGGGCGGCACCAATTACGCCAAAGGTGCGGCGAACTTTAACAGTGCCTCTTTCTCAAACTCCTCCATCTCATCTTCAAGGGAATCATTGTCATTGTCATGCTGCTCATCTTCTAAACCATCTGCCAGATCTTCCAGGATATCCGCGACGTCCTCGGCGAAGTCGCTGAAGAGCATTCTGTCGTGAGCGAAAAAGCCGCCGTTGAAGAACTGGGTGGTGAGGCGGCTGAGCGACTCCTTGCTTTCCTGAGGAATTCCCTCTAGTTTGCTTAGGTAGATCTCAAGAAGGTCCTGAAACTCCACGAGCTTCACAGGAACAAGCCCCTCGGCGTCAGCGCAGTTGGATACGCCATGGCAGCCCTCGGCAGGGTGTCGGTTCCTCCTGAGCTTCTCTTCTTGGTGTTTCCAGAAGTCTACCTGCTCCTTGTGGTGATGATGATGATGATGATGCTGGTGTTGATGATGCTTGGAAGGTTTGGCCTCCCAAGGTCTTTCCTTCTGTCTTCTTTCCCTCTCCTGCCTTCTCTCATCCTTCTTGTGGTCCCACTCTTCTTTGTACTTCTTGAGATGGTCTTTCCTTTTGTCCTTCCCACGCTTCCACTCTTTCCCGCTCCCTGCTTCATCCTTCTTCCAGCGACTGTCATGTTCTTTCTTTCTGCCCCATTCCTTCTTTTCTCCTTTGTGCTCCTGGTGTTTCCTCTTCCAGTCTTCCCGCTTGCCCAGCTGGTCCACCTGTTTGGAGAGTCTCTTCTGCATTTCCACCAAGCTCTCCCTCAAGCCCTGTTTCTTCATTCCCTCCAGCCTCGTCCTGCTCTCCTCCAAAAGAGCTTTCTGCCGCTTGAGTTCCTCTTTCTTATCCCAGGGTTTCTCAGTTCCTTCTGGACTAGACTCAGCAGTGGAAGGCGGGGACCCGGAGTCAGGGGCCTGTTGTGGACGCTCTTCAACTGATGGAGGAAAAAAAACAGATGATAGTGAAGAATACACTGCAAAATATATATTTCCATACTATTTTTTCTAAATAATAGAATTTATAACAAGAATAAAATGAGCAAATCGGCACATTAGAATGATTTCTGAAGGATCATGTGACCCTGAAGACTGGAGTAATGATGCTGAAAATTCAGCTTTGCATCACTGCAATAAATTACATTTTAAAATATATTCAAATAGAAAACTGTTATTTAAAATGTTAATAATATTACAGTTTTTAGTGTATTATGGATCAAATAAATGCAGCCTGGGTGAGCAGAAGAGACTACTTTTAAAAAAATGTACAGATCCCAAACTTTTGAACAGCAGTGTACATATAAAAGACATGAGCACGCACAATGAAATATCCAATATTGGCATGTACCAATAAATAAGAAAATAAATCAGCTGACCAACAATATGTTGCCGATATCATTCTACATTACCATACATTTTTAATAATTTTGAAAAAAAGTCTCTTATGCTGCGTTTATTTGATCATTAATACAGTAAAAACAGTAATAATTGCAAACTATTATAACAGTTTAAAATGTTACTATTTTAATACTATTTTAATACTTTTTTAATATTTTCAGTGTCACATGATCCTTCAGAAATCATTCTAATATGCTGATTTGCTACTCAAGAGACATTACTATCAATGTTGAAAACAGTTGTCCTGCTTAATATTTTTGTTGAATTTTTTTCATGATTCTTTGATGAATACAAAGTTAATTTATTTGCAATAGAATTAATTTGTAACATAAATGTCTTTAGTAACACTTTTGATCAATTTAATATAACTTTGCCGTTTTTTTTTTTTTTTTTTTAAATCATACTGACTTTTGAACGGTAGTGCAATAGCTAACAAAAAAGCTAACAACCTCATTCATCTTAGTAAACCAAAAGATGTCTTTTGGCTGTTCAATTTACAAGTACATTCAGAGCCCTTTCCACAATATCCAAATTTAAATGTTGAGTTTTACAATTCAAATACTATGTGCCGTTCCCACTCCTCCTTAGTCATACCTGTAAGCTTTGCGAGCTCAGCAACTCGTGCTCTCAGTGTCTGTAGTTCGTCTTTTAAACCAGGCAGTTCAGACAGTTGTTCTTTCAATTTAGTGTTCTCGTTTTCCAGCGCTCCTTTCTCAGTGCTGTGCATATCTGTTGTCATTTTCAGAGCCCGGTCCAACTCCTGTTTCTGTGACTGATCATGAAAAAGACAAAGAAAGAACATCCTAAGTTCAACATTTTAAAATAATCTCCTGGTACGCTCTATAGAAAGTGCATTAAGCCCACTTAGTGGAAAAATGCATTCGCATGCAAAAGAAAAAAACTCAAAACACTTTCATGGCATTAAGAGGGAAAACTTTATATACGAATGTAGAGAAGGGACTAACCTCAATCTGAGCCTCCAATATATTAATTTGTTTATTCTCTTGAGCAAGTTTATCAAGGACTTCCTGGAAAAAGGTACATATCCTCAGAGACTGCCACAGGTGAAATCAACTTGTCAATAATAAAAGAACACAGCGAAGACGGAAAATAAAGCAATGCACTAACCTGGTCACTTAATTCTGAACCATCAAAATCATCTGCAGGAGAGAAAATGGATTTGTAATGTTTGTTGAGAATGCATAGACAAGGTGAAGTGAATTATAAAACTGTTACTGTCAAAGACTCAAATGATGAAAGTAAAAGTCAGTGTAGTTAATGCAACAGCAGTCACACAATTCTGGAGTTAAACTGTCTTTCGCTGGAATGTGTCTGGATATATGAACCAGGTCTCTCTGGAACACACTGCTGTTCAAAAGTTTGGGGTCAGCAAGTTTTTTATTAATATTTTTTTAAATAAATTAATACTTTTATTCAGCAAGGATGCATTAAATTGATCAAAAAAGACAGTAAAGACTTTTACATTGTTACAAATTATTTATATTTCAAATAAATGTCGTTTTTTTGTAATGTAAATTTTTTATTTATCAAAGAATCCAGTAAAAATGTATCAAGCTTTCCACAAAAAAATGATCAAGCAACACGACTGTTTTCAGCATTGATAAAATGATTTCTGAATTATCATGCGACACTGAAGACTGGAGTAATGATGTTAAAATTCAGCTTTGATCACAGGAATAAATTACATTTTATAATATATAAAAATAGAAACGGTTGTTTTAAATTGTAATACCATTTCACAATATAACTGTTTTTACTGTGTCTTTCATTAAATACATGTAGCTTTAGCGAGTAGAAGAGACTGATTTTAAAAACATTTTAAAAAATTTTACCGACCCCATACTTTTTTACGGTAGTTGTGTGTGTTATCAAATTTGAGAGTTTACACACACACACACACACACACACACACACAAAAAAAAACTAATTACTTTTTATTTAGTAACCCTGGTAACCTCTACAAAAACTTTATGTCAGCAGAATCTCAGCATTAAGCCATTTCAGGGTGAGACAGCCATTACTGACACTAAAGAATTACAAAGGTGAAGTGTGTAATTTCTTGGCAAAAGTGTCACCAAATTGCAATTTGTTTAAGTGGCCTGAACAATAGTGTACATTTGAGGAGCTACCTGTTTGTCCAAGCAATAAAAGTGTGTTTGGCAAAATATGTCACTAGTGGTGGCACAAAAATTATACACTTCAACTTTAAAAGGTAAGAGTAGAAGCAACCAGCTCATAAGCCCCTTGGTAAAGCAGTGCATCCTGGGTGATGATATAGGCTGATGATAGACACTGCCCTCAGGTAAATGTACCTTTTTTTTTCCTCACTCATTTGTTGAAGTTTGAATATGTGAATATGTGATGGGAACGAACTCTACCATTAGCACTGGAGGGCAACTCCTATCCACAGCTTAAACACAAGCATATACTGCCACCTAGCTCAAACTCTGAACATACCATCAGACGGGTCAACCACAGAACCTGGAGGCATAATAACATTAATGCAACCACTGAAAATGGGATATTAATGGATATAATGTGGTATGTATGTATTCATAACCATTGACCAAATATGAATCACTTAATGGTTATGCCCAACCGATGTTATGTGTGATGTCATATGTTAAACGTTTTGTAGGACCAATTATAAAATGTGGTTTAAATTTGTGATTTTTTTAAATATGTTTTAAGATTTGCCACCACACGAATAAGATCACTGCCACACAAAACTCACCGGAGAAAAAGAAGGATCCAACACAGAGCAGGACCAATGCGCCCACTATCAGCTGATTCAAAGAGAAACCTCGTTTCTCCTCTTTCCTCACTGGCAGATTAAACTCCTCCTCTTCTTCTTCCTCCTCCTCGTCGTCAGAGCTTCGCTTCAACACTATGGTGGGTTGCACATGTCTGAGTCTCAGACCATCATCTTCTGCTGAGGTGCCCGCTGGGAATTCAGCACCAAGAGATTCTAAATGATACAGAAGAAAATAAGGACAAGCAAGATTAGGAGAAATATGGTAAATGTGGGTAGAAATGGAACTAAATTGTTTGCTCCACCATTTTAATATAACATTTGAAACATTTTAATATAACAATATATTAAAGCTGTAACATTTTGCTCAGCGCAAATTTAATCATTTAGCAGACGCTTTTATCTACTATTCAAATACATAATGCTTTGATAATGATAATAAAATAATTATAATTAAATCCAACAATACAAACTAAATATTTTGAATATATAAATGAATTTATAAAAACATTACATAAATATATTATGTAATTTATATATATATATATATATATATATATATATATATATACACACACATATACATATGTATAAATAACAAAGACAAAATAACATGAGAAGTTAAAAAATATATATTTATATACTAATTAAAGTATTATACTAGTATTTTATTATATGCATGTATTAATAAAAAGTAAAACAATAAAAAGACTAAGTATCATGAAAAAGAAAGGAAAAAGAGTTTATTGCACATTTATTAATTATTTAAAAAAATGTCAATGTCATACCTGGCTCTCTGATCACATCAGGGAATTTATCTGGCAGCTCTATTTCGTCTTTCTCAAAAATAGGCTCCTCCTCAGTCTCAAAAGAACCAATGGTTTCTGGATAAGGGCTGTAAGGGGCGGGGCTTTCTGCTGTGGAGCCAAAGCCTGTATCAGCCTCAGAGGGCGTGGCCAGAGGCGGGGTTTCAGGGGTGGGATGTACATCAGCATGAATATCAAGCACAGGGATTGCAGAAGATTCAATAGTTTTAGGGGCGGGGCTTATATCTGCGGTAACATCAGAGACGTCGAGCGAGGAGCTAATTTCTCTGAATGGTTCGGGAGTCGAGGTGATTCTGGGCTCTGTGTCCGGGGCGGGGCTTTCTTGGACTGGAACAGGCTGGCCGGGGAAGATATCAGTTACGTCCTCTTCAGTGGGTTCGTCAAGGACCGTCTCCTCTGAAAACTGGAAGGCTGATTCTGTAGTGATGCTGAAGGGAACAGCGCCCAGAAGGTCACTGTCAGGGGGAGAACTGGTGATGGTGTCATGGATGACAGGAGCATGGATCTCAGGATCAAGCTCAACATCGCCATGGCCAGATGCTGCCATTTCCTCAAAGAAATCCGGGGATGTTTCCTGGCAAATCTGGATAATCGGACAACATACAACTGTAAATGTTTTGGGAGGGAACAGTTTGACATTGAGTATCGAGAAACAGTCAGACGCCAGGCACCACCTTTAGTAGAATTAGTGGTTAAACAGGGGAAAAAAGAGGTTTGTAATCCATTTCCAGAAATATTGTAGTTTCAGTTGGATCCGATTTTAAGTGCACATAAATGTCCAAAAGTGATGACATAGAAGAACTATTTTCGGTTCCTCAAAGAACCTTTCAGTGAAAATCTTTTTAATCTTACTGTGAAGAAAATTTTAATAATCTAATTAACCTTTTTTCCACTATATAGCATCTTTTCAAGGTTATTCATGGAATCATAAATGCTAATTAAAAAAAGATTATTTTGAAGAGTATGGCGTTTTCAGGTTTTTTGGAGACATTCATGAATGGATAATGGCTACACTGTCTGAACAAACAAATCAGACTTCATCACTGCAAAATGCCAGTCAAAATTTAGACCGTCAGGTTGAATTTTAAAACCAAGTCAGATGTGCAAAGTTTGAACAAAGTGTGCAAAACTAATACTGTGAACAGGCATATAGAATGGTAACTTAACGTCCTGCTCTGTACATACCAGTGGTGATGCACTGACCTGGTGACCCTCCTCTGACAAAACGCTCTCCATCATTGGAGTTTCAGGGTCATGTGACCTCACCTCCAAAGAGCTTCCTGAAATAAACACCGTTTCACATTACAAAGCCCACAAATTGGGGTTACAACTATCTAACTATAAATTGTTAAAAAATATATATATTACTGACCACAAACTTTTGAACAATTGTGTAAACAAAATGGTTTAATATCTGTTCCAATAACCTGCTATTTCCTCTGAAAGACTGGGTGCATCCCCAATACTTTCCGTCCCATCATCCACTGGTGCTGCAGGGTCGGCGGCAGCTTCCTGAAATCAAAAGTACACATTACTACACCTGATTCATTCATTAAAAAGATAATATCACTGACACAAGCATTTTGACCAAGTGGTTTGCAAACCTCTGGAGAGAGAAGCGTCCAGCTGTTACTGGATGACCCGGAGCTGCCGGTGCTGTTATCAGACATGGCCCTCTTGTGGCTCTGCACAGCACCTACATAATGAAGATCACCACATGCAGATTAGTTCAATACCCAATGTATTGCACAGATCATCATATTCAGTAAAATGAGTGCTAGTACATTAATGTTGCCTTGTTAAGTATCCACTGTTTTCATAATTATAGCAACGCTCTGCAGACAGAACTGTTCTACATTTTGATATTTGGCTGAAATATGAAGCACACTGATTCTTCTTTTTCAATTTAACACAAAAATGCCATCATATATGTAACAGTGCTTATATGTTTTTACACAACCATGGTAAGCCTGTCAACCCACACAAATTGAAAGAAAAAGAGAATTTAAGATAATTTCCTTCATTTTAAGTGAGTTCTATTAGTTGCAAGCAATATTTGACACAAAAGGGTTACTATAGTAATGGCTATTTTAATATGTGTGATATGCAAAATTTTATTTAGTTAAGATGTAGTCTCGGTTAATTAATTCATTCAAGTGAATGGTAGATTTGTCAATATTTAGATCCCATATTTGACACATTGTGTTTATACCTGAGTGACGTGTAGACACATTTTGAGTGACAGGCAAGGAAAAACACAATTTGTGAGAAAATGGAGGAATCTTTCACCAACGTAAAATACAGTTAAATACATAATAATGAACAGATGTATAGTAAATAATGCATAAACATATTTTTGAACAGAAAATATAATACATTTACATATTTGTATCTGTTTTTAGTATGTTTTGTTGCATTCCTCAAGCATCAGTGAACCTAAGCACACTTATTATATAATCCACACTGGCGGACTGTACACCTTATTTATTCAATTAGAGAGAGAGAACCGATGCAGGCAACAAAACAACGATTACAGCTATTACATAACAACAGACACACAGAACCCACAAACACTGCTGCAGAATATAAAGCCACCCTTAAATGTGACCAAAAATGGTCGGACGGCCTCGTTGAATTCCTGGCCTATTGTTTATCGCGTTTAGATGGACATATTAGATTCGGTGACGAGCTGTCATCATCATAATGGTGATGCACAGCGTAGGTTGCGTATTTACATTATGTACGGCGGCCAATTCAGCCTTCAGCAACACTACACGCCGTGGTGAATGAACACAACCCTCTTCCGCATAAAACTAGAATCTTTACGAACGCATTACAGATTATATACACGGATGTTCTTATATAAAATGCTTACCGTGCTTAAAACGGCCTCAGTCGAGTTGGGCACGCGTTATTCCGTCCGTAGTCGTTTAATTTCTCCACACGCACGATCCGTCTCGCTAACTTCGCAACTTCGGGAATTGCGAGTTTGCGTTTTCTCTCCAACGGGACTCCGATTCAGATCCTCTCACAGCCAATGGGAATGAAGCGTCGGGTCGCTCAGACAGACAGCTCATTTCAGCTGTGACTGACAAACGCAGGTGTGAGGGACAATCTAAACGTGAAGTGCTCTCTTATCATTGACTTGACTTGAGGAGGAGTAAAGACTGTCCCGACAACATGCATGAACTCTCTATATATAGGGAGAAGACATGTTCTCCTCCAGCAGTGTACTGACACGTCTACAGAGCAAGAGCTAAATCTGTTGGGACTTCCCAAATGTCTGTCTGCTACAGCTGGACTGGCCTAAATAAACATTGCTCTTGTGTTGCAACATGTTCTTTTGTAATTAAGACATCCTGAGCTAAAGCAAATAGATAGACTGCAGTAGCTAAGCTATAGGAAACTAGGCTACTGGTGGCATCTTTATAAAAAAATATATAAAAAGGAAAAACAACAAACAACATGCAAATGTTTTCATGAAACTGTCATGTATTTGGCTAAATGTGATCTACAAATAATAAACTGACATTAAATATGAAGATTCTGTAAAATGTGTGTTTTTAATTCATGTGTAATGCAGTTTGTAGATATTATTAGGTGGCAAACTATCAATTAGAGGCGATTAATTAGCATTCACCTTTTTGTATCCGAATTTTGAAATGTTTTGAAACCAAGCTTCGAAAAAGTATTACGTGACTTGGCGAGTTCCGAACAACTGATTCGAAACAAAAGATTCGTAAATGTTTCGAAGCTTCATAAAGCACAGTTCCTAAAGTGGCACCGCACGAGAGAAGGGAAAGTAGCGCCTCATGTTTTAGTCGCCTGAATGAGCGGATTGATATAGCCTACAGCACTGCCATTGACAATTGTCAAATTGAGTAAATATCCAACGCTGGATGGCGCTATTCACCAATTAGAATCAATTATTCCAGAGAGCCACATCATAATATGGCGTACATTGTGAGGTATTTATATTTTGCAAGTTTCTGTGCCATTCACAGAAGTGACTTGGGAATGCCATTAAAATTAAATTACTGAATCAAACAATACACTTTTGTCCATAGTTAATTTGTACTTCTGCTAGGGGACACCTGTGTGAACGTGTAGGCTACTTTACACATTCAAAAAATAAAATAAAAATCGCTTGGACAAAAATAAAAATTAGTTATGAGCAACATGGTTGATATTTTGTTAATGTAATGGAATTTGTTTGCTTTTTAAGTGTCCTAATACGTTTTGGGGACCCTGTATATTGTCAATAGAATTTTATATTGCATTGAGCATTTTGCACTGAATAGCATTGTGTCTGGATCTTATATTCATATCAGCAACATTCAACCAGGCTTCTTCAGACAGCAGTGCCCCTTAAGGTCAGCATATGGCGACCATAAGACTCAGAATGTTCTAGTGCCATTAGGGAACTTTTTCAATGCTTGCAACCAGATCATTGAGGAACCACAGAGCGATGAGTAATCGCTGCAGCTCAGACATTTCAAGTGCTTTGTGCTGTTTTTGTGAATACTTTCAGTGAACTTTCCAGAGCTCTTGCCAGTTTTATATTTCAATCTTACTCCTTTGACAGCAAAGACCAGCTTGTTATAAACCATGCAGGAGACATATGATCACCCTTGAGACTTTAGCTCAACACTAATTATCATCAATAGCCTACTGCTCCAAGGGGAATTCAAGTAAAAAAAAAAAAAAATTGGTAACACACTCATGGTCTTAAACAGAGAAACATAAATAAAAGTATGCAGAAGGAATCAACTAACTCATTTTTAATCGATCACATAAACATGTGGTGAGTGCAAATTAACATCAAGTACAAAGAGTGCTATTGTAGCAAAAGCTTTCAGAGTTAAACAAGATTTTGGGGGGTTGGGGGTTAAACAATCAAAATGTGAATGAAAAGATCATGGGTCAAAGGCTACTTACTGTGTTTACTGTCAAAAATACTATAAAATAACTGCCATGAAAGATGGATAAACAAGCAGACAAAAACCATAGTAGTAGCCTATCATACTTTTTGTATTTTGAGATTTTGGACTATTTTACTTCCATAACATCCATAAAGTCTTCTTGACTAATGGAAAGAAAACATCCAACTTAAAATTAGTAGATTTCAATTGCAAAACAAAGGCTGTTTCTCTTAAACTATACAAATTTCTGTCCTTTTTTTTCCCGGCTGTTGGCAGTATTTTCTGATTAAAAACATCCAAAATATCCTCTGTAAAAACCTTTAACTCTAATATGTCAACCAAATTAAACAAGTGGCTTTATTCAATGCTCAGATTTCTTTTAAGTGCAACTCTCTACAAAAAAATTACATTATTTCTTTAAAACAATGACATTTCAAGTCCTTTATCATCAAAATTCTAGATTCTGTAAGCGTGTGAAAATTTAATCAGATTTAATTATATTTAAGGTATTCTGCATTTGCATATTAATTTATCTAAACATTTTACAAAACAATGTCTTTATGTTCTGTGAGTAATCACCTGGGCGTAGGTTATCTATTAGTTAATATGTTTTACTTGCCTATTTACCTGTGGTGTCTTGCGTCAAGAACAATATTTGACAAAATTGTTTACTTTATCAAAATCACAGTAGGCTACTAGCATGGAAGCAGGGTAAACTCATTATGTCAACCATCTTAGTTGCTCTCTAGTTTCTACTTTTTTGTGCGCGTGAGATTTGTAAAGATTACTTTATTTACAAAAATGTATCCACATGTAGCCTATAACAAATATTTGAAAATTGCGTTGTTTATATTGATTTTGTTACAGAGATTTTAGCATTTTTGGGAAGGTTTGGCCGGACGTGCCACGTCACACAGCATGAATCCATCCATTGGTCAAACACAAGCATATGCTGCTCCTTTTTCCTCCCTATGGCAATTTTACGCCTCAAACAGTAAATAATATTAGCCTAACAAAGCGCATACCTTTGAGAAACACTTTTTATGACTGTCATATGCATTTTTAATCGGCTTTGTAATCGTTTGTAGTAGTCGTTCTCTTTGTGTTGGTTTGTTTTGCATCACTTTTCGAGACAATGGAGTCTCTTCGCCATCAGCGCTTACAGCCCGGTATCGGATACGGAGCGAGCGCGACCGGGACGCTTCGGTCCCTGCGGCCCGGTGTAACGGGCACTCTTTCCTCCGCACAGGGTTCCCGCATCTCGGTGTCTGCTTCCCCGGGGCCACCGCCACCACTGCCGCCCCTTCAGCTCCACACCCTCGGGTCCGGTATCATGGGCAGCGGGTTCGGTTCGGTGGACATGGCGGCGGGTCTGGGTCTGTCCAATCCCACCAACCCGGCGGTTCTGCGGGAGGCGGTGGACGCGGTGGTCAGGAGCTTTGCCAAACACACGCAAGGATACGGCAGGGGTATGTGGGATCAACATGGAGATGTTTTGTACTAATCATACGGGTCAATAATAATGACTAAGCTTTTAAAAAATATAATTCTAAATGTAAAGTGCTTAGAAATGTAATATGTGTAGGTTATTCAAATATGGTTATTCTATTCAAGTTGATGCATGTTTAGGATGTTTTATATTATATTATATATTTACTTAAAAAATGTAATGACTAAAAGTTGTGTATGCAAAAAGTGGTGTAACCAACATCAAAAAAGTAATACATTATTTCACTTGCACCTTGAGCACGTGAGAGTGCAAATTTTTATTTTCACAAATTCATTTTTATCATTCAATTTTCCTGGGGTTACTCTACCAGAACTAGGCTTACCCTTTCATAAAAAGCACAAAATATGTAATATTTAATATTATATATTTTCACAAGGGGGTTTGTCATTTTAACATCTGTCTCTTTTGTCATTTTCACAACACAATTGCCTTTCTGCATGTTGGACTGACTTTAATTTGGCAGACTTACATTTTTCAAATATTAATCAAAAAATGTGTATTTAGACATTGACTTTATATATGCCCTCCAAAATATGACTTTAATTCAGAAATTATAAATATGATCGTAATAGGAGAGGTTTTCCTCATTCTCTGTAAGAATTGCATTTTTGATGTTTTTTTGAATTATTTAATAAGCTAGATCTATGATTTTTTCCCCATTGTGCGAGTATTTTCATGATGATTAAGCACATCCCTCTCCTTAATATCATTGCTGTAATGTGAAAATATTAATGCAAATAATATTTTTTATACATTTTTAACATTTTATATAATTCATTTAATTTATTTAATATCTGAAATAAATATTACCCAGACATGTTCTTCATAAGATTCAGCCCCCTAACAAGACTGTAGCACAACAATCGATTCGAGCGCTCGAAGCAGATTGAGTCCCCTGACATGCTGACCTAAATACATCGAAGGGATTATTGTCGGATAAATTCTGTTGCCAATGCATTTTAGAGGCAGGTTCAGAGTTTTAATCTACCGCCGAGACACCTCAGACCATCTGAATGTAACAAGCTCATCTTTCATTTACTGAAGAAAGACCTTTTATACATTTGTGATAATTTTCACATTACTCTCGTCCATATAAACCACCTTTATTTCCTGTTAGAAACTATAAGCAATTCCACAACAACATGCTTCCTTTATATCAGCCATTAAATGAGCATGTGCTTTTCATTGTGTGCTGAAACAGTCATAGCGAAAGATTTATGAACTGTTTTGCAGAAGTTCATTGTAGATATTTTGCTCGATTTATTTAGCCCTCTACCATGCTATCTCTAAACAAACTTAAAGCGCAAGTTCCCAATACAACGATTTGACATGATCCAGGATTGTTAGGTTCTTCGAAGCTCATCCCGGAATTGCTGTCATAGCAACAGATCCGTAATCTCAAGCCTGCTCGGGAGCATCTTATTTCATGTAATCAGGATTAGATTGCTTCTTTTTAAGTAGAGCTGATACTTAAAGTCTGTTCCAGGCACTGCTACTTACACTAGTACCCTAATAAACCAGGGACAATAATAATAATGATGATTTAAAAATAAATTTGCAAATAATATTATAATGCTGTGTAGTCTATCATAATATAGACACAGTCAGTTTTACTCATTGAGAGATTTATTTGTGAGGGAATAATTACCTAATACTTTTACTGGAGTTTTACACACATGATGTACAGTAAGTCTAAGCCGTGCATTAATTTGAACGGCAGCGCATGAGATGCGGATAACTTTGTAAAAAGAAAAGAAAAGCCGTCTGCTGTGCCATTTAAAAAATATCCTTGACCCTTAAAAAAAACCCCGAATTAATCCTGTCACGAAACAAATCTGCTAATTACAACATTGAAATAAAAATGTAAAGTCTGTACAAATAGAAATCGTGAAATTATGGAAATAATTGAGAATCATGTGACAAACAGTACATTTTATTTATCTATTATAACTTTTAAGTCCTTAAAAAGGTCCAGAAATTCATCACGTTTTTCGTCAGGTGTGTGTTGTTCTTTTTAAAAGGGCTGTTATGTTTCCTTTTGCCAAATTTCCTATTGCCAGTCACCCATAATTCACTGGGCATGTTTCCGTCCAAGACCATAGTAGGTACATCCTCTCCTATGGCCTCATGGGATATGAGATGCTCCCATCAGATTCTCTGCAGAAGCAATAGGTCATCCTGGTACTTTTCACCTACTGGTTTTCAAAAACTATGTATTTGGATATACTACTCTGTTTTCCGCATGCGATATAGTTATAGGAAGTATTCTATTTTGAACGCGGCGACTGCATTTGTAGTCATCCAGTCTGAAATGGAGACTACAAACACAGAGGTTTCTCAGATTTTTCATTGCAGTGTCCACTCTAAATTTAGGAGTCTTTCCAACCTTTAGCCACTGCCTACAACAGGCTGGATCATTCACTGGAAACGGAAAGTTAGCCTACTCCCTCCCGCTAAATGTTTACTCTTTTAATTCTTGCACCCAGGAACCGTACAAGCCGACACCATTGTGACTAAAAGTTTGCTAAGAGGTATTTCCTACTCAAGCAGTATTTGACTCTGGTCAATCTGATAGGAACAGACTGGAAGTGGCCTTAGATGGCAACATGCCCAATGCATTATGGGTGTTGAAGATTTCCTTTCCTATTTAGCAAAAGGGCCCATCAGCCCTTTTCTCTTGTTTTTTTTATTTGTTTTTGTTTTTTTTATCTGCTTTCGCCTTTCTACTGAATAGGCATCCAAGTTTTATTGAAAGGCCATTTTACAAGTGGTGAGTTACCCCTTTAAAGGTACAGTAAGCGATTTCTGAGAAACGCTGTTAAAAGTGGATCGGCCCGAACACCACTGCAAACTTGTAGGCAATCAGCAGTAGGGGGAGTGTCCACTCATGATGGGGGGAGGAGAGAGAGTGAGAGCAAGAGGGAGATTTGAAGAAAGACTGTAGAAAGAGAGATGGTTGAGAGACATTACAAAAGAGAAAAGGTCAGAGGAAAAGAAGGGTTATGATCAGGCAAGAGCTTTAGGACCCGCGTTAATATTAGAAAAGATTTCCAGTGCTGGAGAGATAGGGGGATAAGGTCTGAAAACCATTGCAGAGTTTGCGTTGTTTCTGCTCCATATGCGAGCAACATGGTTTTGAGTGTGCGCTGCTGGCTACTAACAACAAACTCTTGCTTATATAAACTCATGTGTACTGTATGTTCATTTTTTGTTGTCGCTTGTCGTTCATTCATCATCTTCGCTTTATTTTTCACAAAGCTTTATTTTGCTTTGCTTCAGCTATGATAAAGAGACATCCACTCTTCCATTGCGTGTTTGTGCATTTTGGGGGCGGAGCAATGAAGGGAGGTGTGTGTTTGTTTGGGTTGATTCATATATCAACAGTGAACAATGATTCTCAGAAATTGCTTACTGCATCTTTAAAGTTAATATACGTGGACGTTCTGTAAATAAACCTGATCTGACCCTTAAAATATCCGTCCAACGTATTTGTGTGTATTCAGTACTATTAAAGCAACACTAAGTAAGATTTTTTTACCTTAAAATAATGTTTCCAAAATCGTTTCAGTGGTTCATTAAGTCGTAACAGGGTGAAAGGCACTTCTGGATTCGCTTTGCGGTCCTATATCTGCTATAACCACGCTATGTAAGATTGCCAGATCGGGTCGCGTTCCTGTAGTTCTAATGAGACATAAGAAAACTATGAATTTGACTTGCTTTACGTCAAGCGTTACAATAGTCATTATTTTGTTTTTCTTCGTTTCTGATGTCGCAATACATCATACTTTCATGAAATCATGCAACATACTCTTACCTTGTCTGTGGACATCGTTCATTCCAAAGCCGGTGCTGGATAAACAACGAGCGTGCGTGCGACAGTAGGATGTGGTAGGCTAAATTATTTACAACAGCGGTAATGGACAATTCCGCTTCCAACCTGTAGGGCGACCGCAGAGAAAAAGTTACTTGGTGTTGCTTTAAGTTACTTCAGCTTAAAGAAAAAACGGAAGAATTAGTGTATGATATCATGTGTTTGATGATAAATGGAATGTGATTACCGTTGCTTCAAGCTACATTTGAACTCATGAGTCTTAAAATATACTTGAATGGTGTTGTATATTCTGATACGATGTTTCTGATTCCCACAGTGAATGTCGTGGAGGCCTTACAGGAGTTCTGGCAGATGAAGCAGTCACGGGGTGCTGACCTGAGGAACGGCGCTCTTGTGGTCTACGAGATGGTCCCGTCCAACAACCCTCCTTACGTCTGCTACGTCAGTCTCCCCGGGGGCAGTTGCTTCGGGAGTTTTCAGGCAAGCACCTCATGCAACATTCCCTTTGCTTTCTCCAACGCATCTCTCTCTGAACCTCAGATCTTCCGAAAAATAAATAATTGTGTTTTGGTTGCCATCTGTGTCTGCATATTTTCTGTCTAATGTTTTCTCTTGAGGATCTCTTGGAAGTGAATTCTGTGAGCATCTTCAGGATTCGATTACAGTGTGGTTTAAATAGCATCTTTGATCTTCTCAGTTCTGCCCGACCAAAGCCGAAGCGAGGCGGAGCGCGGCCAAAATTGCCCTGATGAATTCTGTTTTCAATGAGCATCCATCTCGACGCATCACAGATGAGTTCATAGAGAAGAGTGTGTGTGAGGCTCTTGCCTCTTTTAACGTGAGTTCTCACAGTTATGTTTATTCGGTTAGAGGGATAGTTCACTCAAAGAATTAAAATTCAAGTTTCATTTTCTCACCCTCATGTCCTTCAAAACACTTGTGATTTTATTTCTTCTGTGAAACACGAGTTGATTTGAAGTGCTGATTGATTGTCATGCCGTTACTGGAGCTTTCAAGTTTAATAAAAGCAGATCATGTGACTCATGGGCTGTAGTCAAATAAATGTTAAGATTTTCAATGAATTTATTTGATCAAAAATAGAGTAAAATTGTGAAATATTATTACAATTTTAAAATACCAGAAAGCATTGTAATATACAGATTTTCTGCTCAAGAAACATTTCTTATTATTATCAATGTTGAAAACAGTTGTGCAGCTTAATATTTTTTCAGGATTCTTTGATGGATAGGACAGCTTTTAAAATATTTTAATTATTACTATTAAAATATTATAACGCCATCTTTTGCTGTCAGTTTTGATCAGTTTAATGCATCTTTGCTGAATAAAAGTATAAATTCATAAAAAAAAATCTGATTGACCTCAAACTTTTGAACAGTAGTGTATTGTTGACATTGTTTATCTTGACTCATCTTTATTTACTACAGGGAAACCGAGAAGAAGCTGATAATCCTAGCACAGGCATCGGTGCTTTTCGCTTCATGTTGGAGTCTAATAAGGGGAAGTCTATGCTAGAGTTCCAGGTAAGTGAGATCATGATTGGACTGCATGGAAAGATGTGAGTAAATGTAAATGTGATTTTAACATTATTATCATTTTCCTTAGGAACTGATGACAGTTTTCCAGCTTCTCCATTGGAATGGTAGTCTCAAAGCTATGAGAGAAAGGCAGTGCTCCCGTCAGGTGAGACAATATTGACAAATATTCTATTTTCAGTTGCAAAAAAAGTAAGATCATGATGAATCACGTAGTCCTTCATCTTTTTTGAAATAAAAGTTTAGAGCACTACGAAAACATCCTGTGACTTTCAGATCTCAAAACTTAGTCCAAAAATACAATTTATTCAAATTATTCGGACATGATGTCCCACTTTTACATGTCAACAACAACTATATTGAGTTCAGAAACTTTGCCAGCCCAGTCACAGTAATAAAAGAAAAAAGTAGCTTAGCTATTATTACAAATTATATTAGAAAGGTATGGAATTATAGTTAACTGAAGTTAAAACCATAAAAAAAGAAAACATTTTCATTACTTGAAATAAAAGAAACGTCTAAAATATAAAAAAACGAATTCAAAATATTGATAAAAAGTATAATAGTATCTCAATAATACTAAAATAACACTGGCAAAATGTTCATAAAAAATAAAATGACATATTTAAGAAAAATCTAAAACAAATCTAAATATAAAATTAATACTATCATAGAATCTCAATGAAACTAAAATAACACTGGAAAAATGTTTATGATACCTAAAATATACATTTTGGCACAAAAAGCTTTATTTTATTTATTTGTATACTTTTTTATTTGTTATTAGTCCCTTTAGTTTGTTCCTTGTAAATATTTATTTGACGCATCCATATGTTTCACTGACCTGTCTACAGTATATATAACAATTATCCCCCTTTTGTAAACAGGAAGTGCTCGCTCATTACTCGCACCGAGCGCTAGACGATGACATGCGTACACAAATGGCCGCCGACTGGGTCAGCCGAGAACACACTTTATCCGGAACCATCAATCGAGAGATGGCCGCCACCGAGCGCGAGCTGGAAGAGGCTCGTCTGGCAGGACGGGAGCTGAGGTTTTATAAGGAAAAGAAAGACATTCTGCTGATGGCAGTGGGGCAGCTAGGTGGGTCAAACACTACAACTCTGCCCTGCACATGCTGAAGAGTATGAAGACGTGTCAGACGTGGCATATGATTGTACCAGAGAGCACTCCAAAACTCAAAACACTCTTTTTTTTAACTATGTATGGAAGTGTGTTTGTGTGTGAGAATCAGAATCAGCATTTTGAATAATTTCACAGACAAAAACCCACAATGAATTTTTTTATTGATTCTGTTTCAAGGCATTTTGACCTTGAAACCGAATCAAAGTGCTATTATTACTATACCAGTATTATCCTCCAGTGTTACTGATTGACTGTACTGGCACATGGACGTACTGTGTCTGAGTCGGGAAAATCAGTTTTGAGGCCTTCTTAAAAATCTTTGCATTGTATTCTCATGAATCCTATTACGCATGGGCGCTGCTTCTTCTTTTTTTAGCTAACTCGCCAAAGCACTGCCCATTAGTTTATGTTGTGTGGACAAAGCGATATAGTAATTTCCAATATTCTGCATTTATATTCACAAAATAGCCTTGCTCATTTATTTGCTACATATGTGTGCTTTTGGTGAATATACAGACCTTTTCTTTGTAATGTTAATCTAAAGTATGTTCATGTAAACACGCATTTATATACAGTACTTTTAAGTTAACTAAACTTTTCCGCGAGAGCCATAAGTGTTTGCTAAGGAAGCAACCACACTATATTTTATGACACAAAGGTCAGATTTTCTCACACTGTCATAGTTCAGGAAACATACCAAGGCTGTTTCCTCCTGCCTATGAAGCTGTGCCCTCATTCGATTGCCTGTTACCTTTGTGATTGTAGAGCAATCATGCTCATTTCAAGGCAAGGTTTTATTTCTACCTCCTTTCTCAAAACTTTTGTGAATTTCTTTTACCATATATACATATAAGTGCAGATGGGATTTGTGTTAAGATGAGCAATGCTTTGCAATTAGGTGCTTCACTAAGGAACAACAGGAAATAAAACCATACACCGGCAGTCAACATTTTGCAATAATTAAGATTTTTAATAATTTTGAAATAAGTCTCATATGCTGATTTGATGTTCAGTTATTTTCAATCATTATTGGTTGGTCAGTTACTAATGATGGTTCTTATTATTACCAAAGGTGAATTTTTTTTGCTGCTTAATATTTTGTGGAAATACAGGTGAAACTCGGAAAATTTGAATATCATGCAACATTTCATTTATTTCAGTAATTCAACTTAAAAGGTGAAACTAATATATTATATAGACTCATTACATGCAAAGTGAGATATTTCAAGCCTTTTAATGAGTCTATATAATATATTAGTTTCACCTTTTAAGTTGAATTACTGAAATTAACTTTTGCACAATATTCTAATTTTTCGAGTTTCACCTGTATTTTTGATGAATAGAAAAAAAAAGATATTATTTGAAAGGGACAACTTTTGCAACATGTCTTAAGTGTCACTTGAATCAGTTTAATGCATTGAATAGAAGTGTTCATTTCAGTTTTTTTTTTTTTTTTTTTTTTTTTAAGCTCGATCTTACCCCAAACTTTTAAATGGTAATGTATCACAGTTTCCACAAAAAAAAACATTCTTGTATAAAACTGTTTACTATGAAGCTCCGAACATAACATGCGGGAAAAAATGATGTACATAATCAGCACATTTTACTAATTTGTTCCCTCGCTTTAAAGGGATAGTTCACCCAAAAATGTAAATTGTCATCACTCACTTGTCAACACAAAAGAAGATATTCTGAAGATTGTTAGTAACCAAAAAGTGATTCCAAAAATTATATCACTTTAAGTAAATTGTGCAGACAAAAATATATAAATATCGTGGCCACAAATTAACAAATCGTTCTCTCGTTTTAGTAAGTCGTGGCAACGATATAATAATTGTTTCCTCGTTTAACAAAAAAGTTGTAATAATTAGTTCCCTTGTTTTAGTTAAATCAAAACGAGGGAGCAAATTAGTAGAACGTGGCCATGATTTGCTAAAACGAGGGAACAAATTAATACGTCCTGGGAACTAATTCTTCATTTGTGGCCACAATTTAACTAAAACAAGGGTATAGATTAGTAAACCGTGGCCACGACTAACTAAAACGAGAGAATGAACTCTTAATTTGTGGCCACGATATATATATATATATATTTGTCTGCATGTGCGGGGCTCCATAATACATTTTTCTTAAGCAGCAAATCAGCATATTAGAATGATTTCTGAAGGATCATGTGACACTGAAGACTGGAGTAACGATGCTGAAAATTCAGCTTTGAAATGACAGGAATAAATTACATTTTAAAATATTTTCAAATAGAAATCTGTTATTTTAAATTGCAAAAATACTTTATAATATTACTATTTTACTGTGTCTTTCATCAAATAAATGCAGCTTTGGTGAGAATAAGAGACTTCTTTCAAAATAATTAAAAATCTAATCTAATTCCAAAATTTTGACCAGCAGTGTATATGGCGTCTTATATGGCGGTTTACATGTTGGTTTCCCAACTCAAAATGGCCCTTATAGCCTGTACTGTTTATAAAATAATTACAGTTTAAATCATTAAAATGCTAATGTAATGTAACCCCATTCTTATTCCATCATCATAATTAATTGTATTATAATTGATTATTATGTGTTGCTGGGTGAAGTGATGATGTAAACTTGTTAATGTTTCATGATCCCAGTCATTTGCTTCAGTATTCGAGGCTACGACAGCATGTCATCAGTCAGTTACAGTTCAGATCATATTAGATCAGCTTGAAGGATCACTGCTGTCCGCTTGAACTGAATTTTAAAGGACTAGCTGCTAAATCTTGATACTCATCACATCATAATGAGGATGTGTGTGGTGTGGAGCTTTAATGATTGTCATTATTAGCCAGACACATTTCTGAAATTATACTTTTAAGGGCTAATTGTAATCGAAATTGTGTCGAAGTTGTGCATTTGTGATCATAAACGTCAACGTTACACTGCAGAACTGTCTTAATTCAGTTAAAGCCCTTGTAGTTTATAGACTGGTATTATTAAAATTGGCAGACTATATTACAGTCCAGAACATGACATAAGAAACAAGAAAGTTTATTTAAATAAACTATGCACACACAGAGCTTGTTCAAATCCAGCTTTGTCTCTGATAATCTAAAGCCCCCTTTCTTTAAACGTTCATGATGTGCAGGCGATTATGTAGGATCCCTACAAATTATTTATTTATTCAGACCATGAATTTTGTGAAATGACAATGATACATTAACAGTAACAGTACTATTTGCAGTTACTATCGATATATCTTTTTCAATGTAATTATTATATGAATCATATCATGTTTCTGAAAAGGATTTCTTTGTGAGTGTATTTTCAATGTAATTTTTCAAGACCTCTGTTTTTTTTTAGTTTTTTTTTTGTCTTTTGAATCCATCATATTTCACTGAAGTGTATTGACATGTAAATTGCATATACATGTTCATTGCATATAATTTTATACAATTTGTTGGGCCTTTTCCCTGCTGTTTTTACACTCTTGTTTACCAAATTTATTTTTTCAATTAATACTTAAGGTAGTGAATTTGAATCAGTGCATGTCGAGACATTTTATACATTCTTTATTTGTTTTGTATGAATAGTCTAACTGCCATTTTTCATGTTTTACAAGACTTTGATGTATAGCCAATTTTTTGTTGATTTATATTCTTTACAAATCAATAAAGAGCCTTTTCATATATATGTTTATTTTAGTGTAACTTCTTACAATCTTGACTGTAAAAAAAACTCAATGTACAAAACTTACCAGTTCCACTGGTTGTGGTCCATGAAGGTTACAAAATCAGGAGAGAAAATTTGTAAAATGTTGTTCTTCAGTAGATGCATTGAGCTTCCATAGAAGAAATTAGACTTTAATTGAGCAGGGACTTTTATTTTGAAACTGAGTTACTTGGGGAACTAGTTATGTTTAACGTCATAACTCAGTTATATATTTATATATTTGTTTACAATATAATACGCCAATTTGGAAAACAAACGTGCTGTACTATATTCATATTTTAAAGTAAGTGATAAATTCAGCTCATTAAACAAACTTGCTGACATTTTTTGTCAGGCAAAATACACTACTACCTTTTAGGGATCCTTTATCACCCCAGCGCTATTCATGTGTTTTAGTGAATGCAATGACAGATTGCGAGAGATATCTGCTGAAATATTTGTGAATTTTGACAAAGTGTTTATGCCGTGCTACGGGAGGTGGCTATAATTAATATTTGCAACTAAATAAATTCATTAATCTTAAATCTTAACGTATATATTAATCATGTGGGCGGTAGCATCATCAAGGTTTGTCCTTCAAAGCTGCTGGAATCTTTCAAATCTAAAATCTTCCTTGAGTCGAATACAGAATCTGTCACAAACAGCATGCAAGGTAAGCAGAAGAAAATGAACATCTTTGATAACGCAGTGACTGATATCACAGTGCATATTTGTAGTGATTTCTGCCAGTTATTGTTTTGACTTCATCTTGCCCAGTTGCAAATAAACATAATTTTATAAACTGATGACTGAACATGCTCTCCATTGCTCATCTTGTTTAGCTGTGTCTAGTCTGATGACTAGACAGTACAGTAGACACAGATAAACAGTACTTCATGAAAGCACAAATATAATGCAGTTTCACTGAAATGACTTTGAGGAGGGAGTTGTGATGAAAATACATGTACACATTTTGACTTTTTAATCTTCTTCTAGAATACAGTAATTGTTGAACGCTGTTGGAAGGTTCCTTTATCAAAGGAAGGAAAGCCAGCCAGGCTACATCCACGTCGACACAGAGTGTACCGCATGGTTGAGGACAGAAAACACAATTCCGAAGATAAAATGGAGCTCATCCTCTCCCAGACCGTGCCCAGTGAGTGCTTTTGCATTACAAAAATATTGTAATATTTTTCGTTTGGATTTTTGATGTTAAATTCATTTTACAGAGCTTGGTGGACGAGGCGACACAGTTTTTGTGAAAAAATCATTGGGCCGCAACAAATTGCTACCCCAAGGCCTGGCTGTCTACCCTTCACAGGAAAATAAAGACATGTTTGCAGAGGAAATAAGGGTTAGTTACATCTTACAGTTCATTTGTTGTTAACATAATTTCATATGGAAGCCCATTTCTGCCACATAAGAAAAGAGATCATGCTTTTGTAAATCATAATTATGACATAAGTCAACATTGACATACTAAGTCATATTTATGAGATGAAAAGTCGAAATTATGACTTAAAGGTAGGGTAGGCAATTTTTCGGAGAGGCTAACAATAGCGAGCTAGCTTTGAAAGCGTAAGAGCCCACCCTCCCTTCAGAGCGTCTCCAAAGCCTCCTTCAAAACACATGAGCAGAGCAGAGTCTGCAAAGTGTCATGAGAGATGTTGTTAGTGTTGCCATTGAAACATAAATTCTAATCGCGAACTGCTAGTATAACGTCACGGCTTTCCACCTCTTCCAAATTACAGTAGTTATGGCGTGAATGCAGGATAAGCTCGTTGTTTTGGTTCAGGAGGAACTGTAAAAGGTGGCTACTGTTTCGGTGGCGGTGCTCGATGACTGAATAACTCTGCATAGCATGAAACACGCTGATTACGTGTGATGTCTGACTGCGCGAGCAGGGTGCCTGGAGGTATGAAAATACATACATTGAGAGTCAGGTAGGACATCATAGCATTGCGTTCGGAATGAGGGCGATGATTGGATGAACATTTTGTAATCTTACACACCTTTCACAGACGATATATTTACATATTTAGACCTATTAACTTAGTGATTGCTATCGGGATGTGAAGAGACTTTCAACCAGCATAACAAAAAATCTTTCTGGAACAAATCACAATTATGACGCAAGTCAAAATTATGACTTATGTCATAATTTCAACCTTTTATCTCATAATTATGACTTAGTATGTCATGATGTTGACTTTTTGTTAAATTTGTTGAATTTCGACTTCTCATAATTGACTTTCTATGTTATTTTTTAATTTTTAATGTCATAATTTTTACCATTTATCATGTCATAATTAAGATTTACCAAAGCATGATTTGTTTTTTCCTATGTGGTGGAAATGGGTTTTCATAATTTCAAGTGTTCACAGTTTGCTTGGTTTTTCCTGTAGCTTCTGCGTGAGGGACGGCCAGAGGACCGAGTCCAGACACGCACAGGACAGCTAGTGAGTTTTAAACTATAAAACATAATTTATAAAACAAAATTGCAGGTTTTATATATTCGTGTCAACATGAGCACCTTCATTTTGTGTTTGTGTTCATTTTGCAGACTGTTGAATTCCTGAAGAAAACACAGCTTGAAGTTGCCATGCACACTTCAGTTCAGTACTCGCTCACAAAAGAGATCGTCTGCAGACAGTTTCTTAGACAGGTAAGACACTAAAAAGGAAACTGGCAACACAGAATCTTAATTTTTCAGAAACACAACATAAAATGCAAGTGCAAAAGTAATGCATACCTACATTGTTCGCAGTGGTTTTGTACCATTGACTGTATTTCTGTCCTCAGCTCGGTGTGGTTGTGCCGATTCATGCCTTGACTCTTCCAGAAGAACCAGTCACAGGGCCTGGAGAGTACTGGTGTGATGTCACGGTAACTCATTGGCTTTACAAGTGCAAACAGTACAGTTTTATGATCATTTTACACTTATGGGATTGAATGGTTTCTGGCAGAACTTGCTATCTGAACAGTGTTTGGTCTCTCAGGTGAACGGAGTGGACACGGTCAGGGTGCCCATGCCTGTGGTGCCGTATGTGGAGCCCAGCCAACTGATGCTGATGAAGAAGCAACAAAAGCAAGAACAGTCCGATTCGGAATAGTGTTTTCTTTGCTGAATGCAACTTGGAGAATATACACAAGGAATTTGTACAAATAAAATGATTGTTTATTTCTTCCCGTCTAGTCTTCATTCTTTGGCCTACATCTGGTTTTTTTTACATATAAATTAACATCCGTGTGTATATGTATGGCAAGCCGTTTTAACTTTTATTCATTTCCAGGATATGAATACTTGATATCAACAATTCAATTTTCACTAGTTAAAATTATAATTATTGATATCAGGAATAATATTTCTACTAGTAACAATGGCAATTTTTGATATCAGGAATTACATTTTCACTAGTAACAATGCTAATTCTTGACATCAACATTTACATTTTCACTAGTTAAAATGATAATTCTTGATATCAACAATTGAATTGCAACTAGTAAAAACTATAATTCTTGATATCTGTAATTGTATTTTCACTAGTGAAATGTCACCATAGGCTGCCATTCAAAATCAATTCTTGATATCAAGAATTGATTTCTTACTAGTTGAAATTCCAATTTCACATATCAGAAATACAATTCTTACTAGTAAAAACCTTTATTTTTGATATCAAGAATTAAATTGTCACTAGTTGAAATGTCTATTCTTGATATCAACAATTGAATTGCTACTAGTAACAATGTTCATTTTTGATATCAATAATTCAATTTTCACTACTGACAATGTTAATTTCTGATATCATGAATGTGATTGTTACTAGTAAGAAAGCCATTTTAGATATCTGAAATAATATTGATATCAGAAATACATTTTCAGATATCAAAAATGAAAATTTTTACTAGTAGCAATTCAGTTGTTAAGAATAGACATTTAGACTAGTGATAATTTAATTATTGATATCAGGAATTCGCATTTTTACTAGTAACAATGTAATTATTGATATCAAAAATTATATTTCTACTAGTAAGAAATCAATTCTTGATATCAACAATTGATTTTGAATGGCAGTCTATGGTGACATTTCACTAGTGAAAATACAATTGTTGATATCAAGAATTACATTTTTGATATCAATAATTCAATTGTTGATATCAAGAATTGAATTGTTGATATCAACAATTGAATTGTTGATATCAAAAATGTAATTGTTGATATCAAAAATGTAATTGTTGATATCAAAAAATGTAATTGTTGATATCTAAAATGTAATTGTTGATATCAAGTATTCATATCCTGGAAATGAATAAAAGTTAAAACGGCTTGCCATAGTATATGCTCACTAAATGCGTCTGTACTTGTAATTTGAGAGGTGCCGTTTTTATTGCTATGATGTTTTTTATCTTTAAAATATATTGCAAAATGACTGCCCCAAAATTAAACATGCATCATATGCAGTATTAGGTGTAATGTATTACTAAGTAGTTATTTACTGTAATTTAAGTACTTTTCCCAGGAAAAAGTAAAGTAAGAGATTTCTCATAATTTTTCTAATAACAGTTACTTCTGATGTAATCGCATTAAATACTGTATAGACTATAGAAAAATTCTATGTAAAACAATAGTGGATTTAACGTCAAAATTGAACTTCTAATTTTAAAATGTATGTTTGAGTAGCTTGCCCAACATTGATCATATGTGCATGATCATATTTTTGCAATAACACTATTGTTTATTCAATTTACGAAAACATGTTTAATCTGAATTCTTAAATACTGTTGTGACACTATTTTCAGTATAGTAAATTGTGGTATGTGTGTGATCTTATTCACTTATCTTCCCATTCATTACATTTTTACTCTACTGCACATGCTGCATTAGCGGAGTTATCACCGCTAAATAAAACTATTAAAAACATTTCTGAAATAAAGCTGAAATAAAATATAAAAAGTAGTTGGAAAAACACTAAGCGAAATTTGGAAATGTTGCCTTGCAATATACTGCTTAAGTTGGAGCACTAAAATTATGACCTGGAAATGAATAAAAAACTATAACTAAAATAAATATTTTGAATATTTAAAAACTAATAATAAAATGACAAAACTACATGAAATGACTAAAAATGAAAACTAAAAAGTTTTAAAATAATAGCTGATTTAAAATATTAATAAAACTAAAATAACACTAGAGCCTCTTCCTCACTCCGTGGATTTAAACCCCCCCCCCCCCCCCAGAGTTTTCAGTTGTGAATGTCTTGTTCCACCTGACAGTCTACTAAGATCTGGAGTACAGAAAAATCCCTGCCATTTTCACTGGGTCATCTTTTCATTATGTGTTTTGTGATATGGCAAATTATTCTGTGGGAAACATCTTTCGAAAATGAGTAGTCTGCCCAGACAGTGCTGTAAAAGCGTGATGTGCAGGTGCAGACTATCACCATCATCACGGGACACAGTGTGCCACACAAAGTCAAGGGACATCCTGATCTTTCCAACATGCAGGTGATGGCAACTTTTTACCTTAATAATCGTCTTTGAGATTTCTACTGTACAGGTTATGCCCACGGCCGCATTAACAATAGGGCTAGGCGGGGCTAAAGCCCCGGGGCCCGAGCAAGGAGGGGGCCCGTGATTGGCTGTGGAGTAGATACTAGCCATCTGATTGCCAAAGCCTTACCACGCAACGCCCCCCACAAATTAGCCCTGTTATTTAGTGGCGCTTTGCCGAATATTCCATGCATTATCATGGAATCGTTATCATTAATAGTGACCGTTCGCAAAGACCCGCCTTTTTTAGTTACTGTGTGACAAGCCAGGCGTCTCTCACGAGTCACGCACATCATGTTCTCACTCACGCAGTGAAAAATACATCGCGGGGCAAAGACTAACGTTACACCGAGTGACTACGAGAGAGAGAGTTCAGAGCAGCTTACTGTTGATATGAAACAAAGTCTCAACTTTCAAATATTGTCATTTAAACAATACCGTTTTCAAGTTCAAGTCCACCGACGTTAATCTACTGACAGCTTTGTTGTCGGACAAAATTGCGTATTCGGCGTTATGATTGGCCAGTTCGCCTGTCAATCAAACCCCCGTGGGCAGCAAGGAATGGTGAATTGAAACGTCACGTTTTCTATGGATATAACAAATACATTTATTCTATATTTAACTTGTGAACGATCTACCTGCTGCTGCACGTAGGCCTATAGATGGCTGCCTGCGCCTTATTAGAATATACGCATCAACCAATCAATCGCATCCACTCTTCACTTCATTAGACTATTCTTAAAACACATGCGTCATCATCGACCCCACAAATTTTCGGTAAGTTTGATTATTAACTTGATGGATGTATGATGCTTTTTGTGTTTGATCAAACTCTATTTTCGCCTAAAGGGCTGGCGATAATATATCCGGTAGAAATATGTACATTTTCCTGCGACATCATGATACACGTTTATAATTTAAACGCGTTTTTAAACATTGTGGTTTGGATACAAATTATTTTAAACTGCTCAGGCACAGTAAGCAGCGGGAGAGAATTCATTTTGGTTTTGAGACCATGGTGAACTTGAGGCGGTTTTGCACAGCGCACTTGAGTTCCGACCCTGAGGTCTTAAAGTGACAGTAGCTGCTAATAAAGCTGCTGTCGCCATTTGTGCAATAATGTTAATCAAACATTAGAAATAAAGTTATTTACTGCCCTTGACTGAATCACTTTTGTAAAATTAACAAGAATGAATGTTGAATTTATAGTGAAAACTATGTATTATTTATTTGATTACTTTATACAATATAATATTATTCAGTGCTTTAAGTTTTTCAAGTAGGTCGATTTCTTATGTGCCTTTGTTCTATTGTTATTTGTGACTCTTGTCATCAGTAAGCTTGAGATTCTTTTCTTAAGCTACTATTATTTTTTGTGATATTGAAATTGGTCACAAGAATTATGAAATTTGAGTGGCATAAAATTTTGATATGATAAAAAATCGTATTAAAAGTAATATAACTTAACTGTGAAGTATATCATAGATGAATAAAATGACTCGTATAATGATAGAACATTTAGCTCATGTAGTTGGTGACCTAAAGTGGTGGTGGGGGGGCCCTGCAGAGCTCATAGCCCCGGGGCCCAGTGAGCTCTTAATGCGGCCCTGGTTATGCCTCCAAAATGTGCCAGAAACCTCCTCAATGTCTGATGTTATTTAGTACTTATCGGACTCATTTTAACTGTCAGCAGGGTTGCCAGTTCTGCGCAACAAAGCTAGCCTAATGCCCAGTTAAAATTAGCCACAAAATATCCCAATGCATGGTGCTGGAGCGCTGAAATTCTGCGTTATTATTGAGGGGGTCAGGGGAGGTTGAATTCAACCCATGGAAACAAAATATCAACCCGCGGAAACAATGTAAAAGCAGCCCAATTTCCGAGGGAAAACCACAGACTTGGCAACACCGTGTGAAATCGTGTTCAAGTTCAAATAATTTACTTTCCCTCGCCCCTTTTTTAAAAAGTATAATAAAACACCCAAACTCAACATTAAATCATTGTTCAATTTAATGTTTGTGGGTTGAACCCATTCCTACTTTATGAGACATATTTACACATTAAGAATAAGCATAAACATAATAATCCTCCCATATTTTCTATGTAGAAATCTTGTAAAAGTCAAAATTATATTGTGAACCAACCTTATTTTGCTCAGGTTAATGTATTTTTTTATTTCTGGCAGTGATATAGGTACTATTTCACACATAAAAGTGTTTTACACACAAAATGAAACATTACATTTCCTATAGGTGTCATGAAACTGTTACACTTTACTCGTGGTTCTACACAAGGGTCTTTGATTACGAATCCACATTCAAATGAAAACGAGCCGTTAAAAGAATCAAACCAGGATTGGGAGGATTCACTCAAACACTTTTTAAGATTTACAAGGTTTTTTCATAAGACTTTACAATAAGATTCAATACATTAACATTAATTAATTTACACACAAACGTTAATTTTTAGACATTAACATTAGTTAATGCATTAAGAACTAACAATAAACAATAGCATATTCATAAATTAACATTGACCAAACTTATTAAATGCTATTAAAAAAATCATAATACATAACGCATTAACTAATGTTAACATACAGAACCTTATTGTAAAGTGTCTTGTCAATAACGTTTTATATATGCCACTGCTTACGATGGCAGCGTGGAAGACAATACCCTATCGGACAAACAATTTGTGACATCCCAAACATATAATAATAAATCATGTGAACCCACAGAGCTACTTTAATGTTACAAGTGATTTTTGACAGAACTAAAACTCATAACAAAACCCAATGTTGTTCAAATGGAAAGACCGTATTAGGTAGACATTTGGGAGCCGTCTTAAACAAAGTCACAGCAGCCAATAGAGCTTTGCAGTCCTTCGCTCCTTTCTGAAACAATACGAACTGGCATTACAGCTCTAAAAGCTGGCAAAAAGATTTCTGTACAGGCCAACTAAATCTGCTCCACATTAGGTAGATGTGTGCGCAACATCCTGATATCCAGTCCATTAGAATCCGTACTTGGCTTGCGTTTGTCTCCGAGTCATTTTGTTGTCGGCCCAGTTGTTCTTGAGTTCCAGCTCGCGTTCCTTGGCCTGATGAATCAGATACGTGATTTGGTGCTTGCGTCTCTGTTGCCCCGTTGGCTGATCTCCTTTTTTCTGAAAACGAGATGGAAAGGTCAGTCTCTCTCTTTCATTTATTTCCATCCCTCAGAAAACGGACACCGTTAGCAACTTCTGCACCTGTCTGAACGGAAACTTCCTCATGTAATGCCTTGTATTGGAGGTGCTTACCTTGCTGAAGGACTTGCGCGGCTCGGCCTCCGCTGACATGTTCTTGGTCATCCATTGCTTATTGCCGCTCAGCTGATCGTCTCCTTTGATCTCCAAGAACTTGATTTCCTCTCTTCCGCGATTCTGTTTGCCCTGCAGCCGCCGAAACTGGAGGAATACACAGAATATTGGTATTGAAACCCTGATCAATCAGGATTTAGTCAAGGCAAAACATCATGATGCTAGGACGCACTAGATGGTTTCTAGGGTGTTCTTAGTGGTTGCTAGGAGGTAACTTACTGGCCCAAGTAAAAAAAAAAAAAAAAGAAACAGAAACACTCTATACAGAATTGTACACCTGTTTTGCATCCACTAGGCAAATGTATAAGTTTATATTTGCTTGGAAAAGTATCAGCACACCTCAACTAGATGCATGATGTGAATGAAGAAACATTCAACGGAACTGGACAAATGCACACCAACGATTAATACTTAGATACAAATTATACTATGAGCAATAGTAATCAGGCATGTATAAATTACTGACAATAAAAAAAAATTGTTTTTTAATTATTTAAATAAAATATCAATAAACGAATCAATGAAGAAATAACACTATTGCAACTATACTATTGTACTGAAAAATAAAACATGATAATTTAATAATAATGGTAATTATTATTCAAATAATATTTTTATTATTTAAAAAACTAAAACGAACAAATCAATAAAATATATTACGATTGCAGTAAGTCTATTGTACTGTAAAACATTTTTTTTTTAATAATTATTAAATACACAATAAATTAATTAATCATTAAATATTTTTAACATTTAATAAAAACAATAACAGAGAAATAAGAATGATTATTATTACTACTTTGTTTTACAGAATAATAATACAAATATTACAAATGTGTATGGCTGTGAATTAAAAGTATTTGAAAATGCAGAAGTTTTGTTCCCCGGATTTAAGCAATTCATGTGGGTCATATTTCAGGTTGGAAAATATGGAAATTCATATAAATACAGAAAAATATAGTGATGCTACAAACAACTCACTGCTTCATCATTGAACATTGAAGAGGAGCCTGAATCGTCTTGCTCATCGGCTGCAGGGTTTGGGTCTTGGTAATATCCCTCCTCAAGGTAATCCTGTCAAACATATGCATAAAGCATCAGCTGCTGAAATTACAAGGAATAGGGTGTATGGTGCTTCTTCATAAGGACACGTGTTCGAAGTACCTGTGGAGAAGTCTCGGGCAGTGGATTCTCAGGATACTGCGGTGGGTATTCTTCCTTCTGACCATCTTGAATGGCTCCGACTGGCCTACTGTAACTGTCTGCATTAGAACCAAAGTCCAATGGAGAGTCTTCCACAGCGGGTGGAGGGTGTAGAGTGGGAACGTACTGCTGAGAATCTGGGTTTTTAGGCATCACAGGCTCTGATGAGCTCTCTGGTAGGGAAAAGTAGTTCTCCGGAGCGACTTCATCGTCACTTCCCTCTTCATCCGCGGCCATTTTTTGGGCTAACTGCATCGCCTTTGACTTTGCAGCGGCTTTGATGGCGGACGGGGATGGGCTGGTTCCAGAAACACCCTGGGACTTTCCTGTGGTTGCCTTCGGCTTATCCGATCCAGGGCGTTTGGTTAGGGTGTGCGGCACCAGGGGCCGATGCATTTCCTTCACCACCAGATTCTTAGGCTGGGGCAGCAGAGAGGACAGACCACCACCTCCCTGGAAGAAAATATGCTTATTTACTACGAGGCAAGTCTACCCAGATCATTTATACTTTCACATTTATGAAAAATATGATTAAATCGGGCAATCCAGAAAATGTTGTGATGATGATGCCACAACCAACAGCTTATCAAAATATGCCCACTCACATGAATGCTTATTCAATATTCAGAAACTTGGAGAGGCGCTGTGACTTATTTCAAACGTGAAAGGGGTTAGCCAATGATAACAGAGGTCATTTACATATAGAGTGCAAAAGTCCTGGCCACTTTTTCCAAGGCATTAGTTACAGAATTTTTTTTTTTAAATTCATTTTTTCATAGGCATTTTTTAAAAGTATTTATTTAAGAGTTGCAAGCCATGAACCAAACTAACATGCTTTAAGGTGATTCACAACATTTAAAAACTTTGGTTTGAAGCAAAAAGGTATTTGAAAAATCAGACAAAAAGAAAGTACAAGACTGTGCGTTTAACAGCTTTAATGAGTTAAAGAACTACAATCCCATTAAGCACTGCGAATGACATCATTGATTAAAAAATGGAGAACTATAAAACTCCTGATGTTGTTTACATATATAGAAATGATATCGTTTACATTTATTGAAAAATATACATGCATACAAATATCGTCTGACTCGGTTATGTTATTCGGAGCTCTGATGTTAAACAGTTCCTGTGAAGCAATTTGCTTGTCGCGATTCTCTGATTGGTAGAGATCATGGGAAGGATCATGGGTAATGTAGTTTTTCCACCAGGAATTTTGTTGGCGTATGCAATTAGTAAAAAAAAAAAAAAAAGAAGAAATAATGTGTGCTGATGACTTCAACAAAGGCATATAACATCAATTAACAACTTCGGAGGAATACAGTAGGTTTGTCTTTAAAGGTTTATTACCGCTAAAAATCAATTCCACTATGGGGAAAACAAATGAGATTCTTAATACAGTAGTACAAATTATAAATAATTTATAGTTAATAAATATAAGTATATCTTATAATTATACATATGTAATAATATTTTATATAATTAAATGTGAAAAATGTTTAATTCTAAGGGTCAGAAGAAGGTGAAATATTTATTTAAAATAAAGTACAGCTGTAATTTAAAAAATAAATAATAATTATCCATACCTGAGGAGCTGATTTCTTTCGTACTGGCTCGTCATCCTCAGAGTCGGACTAAAACAGACAAACACCATCAATCAGAAAGACTTTCAGTAAAATAATTTGCCTTCAATAGCTCAGTAAAACTCACATCTGCTGGTTTTATTTCAGGAACGGTGATTCTGACGGGTTCTGTGCGTTTCTTGGGTTTCGGCAGGTCCATCGCTTTCTTAGGTTGAGGAGCTGATGCTTGATGTGTTTTCTTCGGCGCGGGCAGAGAAGCGAACAGTCCGCCGATCTTGCCCGCGGGTCGACCGACTAAACCCGGCGAGTCATCGCGATCACTGTCGTCGCTGCTGTCGTACGCTACTAGAGACATCGCCACAGATCAGATGTGTTCATAAGAGAGTGAATCAGACGCAAGAATCGCTGACAACGGAGCTCAACTGATCTCATATCATTCTGTACGGTCCTTCCATGTTAATTTGGACAAATATTGCGTGTAAATATCTAACGTTAGATCACAACATCGATGCCAAATTCGCCTCCAGATAAATCTACGCTCGCAGCAGGACCCGTGAAACTCAGAAACTCAGATTTTAAATCAATATTTTCTCTGCAAAACGCGAATAACACACGAATATAATAGTCTAAATAAACAAGCAATAACTGTTAATACACATATCGTTCCTCTTTAACCATTAAGACCCATAAACAGTTGTCTTCCACCATCGTGAAGGATTTCCTCAACATCCGCTGCACCGTTTCAGAGGATTACGCGATACTGACACCAACTGGCGTGGAGTGGAATCTGATCAATAAACGTGACGCACCATGACAATAAATCTTCGAATAAACAAAGCAACTGCAAACAAGAATGTCATTATATATAATACCCTTGCAAAAACATAACTCACACATAGCTCTATTCGAGTATTACCATGCATAAATATTATAGTGAGAGAAACTGGGAATTATTGTGGAGATAGACAGATAGATAACCCCAAAAAGTATCTTTATGTGAATATTATTTGAACAGTTTTGTTGTTGCTGAGGTAAAGAGGTTGTTAAGTTGGTTAATGTTGTTTAGGCAGAATATCGAGTGGGATTTGTAAGATTTTTCATTGTTTTTGTATAGAAGATTCTAATGCTCACCAAAGCTGCATTTATTTGATTTAAAAAAAAAAAAAAAAAAAGGATAAAATCAGTAATATTGTAAAAAATGTAAATAATTTTGTGGAAACACTTTTTCAAGATTCTTATATGTTCAAGATAATATGTTTTAAAACAACATTTATTTGAAATAGAAATAATTGATAACGTTATAAATGTCTTTAGTGTAGCTTTGATCAATTGAATGCATCCTTGCTGAATAAAGGTATTAATTTCTTAATAAAGCTTTTACTGACCCCAAACGTTTGAACCATAGTATACATTTGTACAGAAAATAAGCCAATGTGTATTGGTTGGTAACATGTGTTCGTGGCATAAAATCAAGGAAACGGAGTATAACATTTGTTAGTTTTATTGACAAAGTCTTCAGAACACATACATTATTTCTCCATGATAAATAATCTTGCTGTTGTTGTTAAGCTCAAACATAATACACAGTCTCTGTGGTAACTCAGTACCAGTAGCTTTTACGAGCCCTTCTATCTTCTTGAATGTTTAATTTCTCCATTACTTCTTCCTCAAGGGTTTTCAAAGATGGCATGTATGTTTTCTGAAGCGTGTCCTCTGGTGATGTGTCCTTGGGTCCATCTGGAAGGTAGATAAACACTCCATATTTAAAGATTTGAATATTTATAACTCTAAGAAGAAATGCTTTGTTTTTTAACTTTCAACCCCTTTCCCTTCCTCAGAAACCCCACCTTTCCACTGCTGGGGAATGATGCCGTCTTTTCTCTGGAAGACAGGTTTGGGAATAATCCGTCCTGTCCTGACAGAAACACGCACTCGCTCCCCCTCTTCAGTGTATCTCCAATCGATATCTGTGGGCTTCCTAAGAAAATTAGACACAAACACATACATTGAGAGCCATTCTACTGTATTACTGTATTGAATGTTTGATGCTCCAGAAGGCAATATTAACGCTCACCTGTCAGTAGGGTCAATAAGCGTAATATCCTTCAGCAGCAGAGGGGCTTCACTGGCGATGTAAGTACCCCGATAATCTCCAGATCTGCCAACATACCTGTAATGCTGGAAAACAATTTTTTAAACAATTTAAAGTGCTGCTTTTTAATAAAATCATAAAGAAAAGAGTCTTATTAAATACACGTTTTACTCCTACCGTGTTCAGGCCCTCGAGAATGACCCAGTTTCGACGCCGGAACACCTGAACAACTTTGCCCTGCTTTCCTTTGTCCTTCCCAGACAAAATCTCCACCTGGTTGAATTAGATTTAAATGCCATGTTATACAGATATGCATTGTGAAATAATACAAAACATGCACAAGTTAAATGGTGCTAAAACATCCACTACAGGGAGATTATTTAAAAACAGGGTTTTTGTTATCTTTTGCCATGGACCCCCAAATATAATAATCCTTGAGTGTGGGACCCCATTCTAAAATTCAAATGTTAACTATATATTTGGTAACACTTTAATTTAAGGGGACATACAGTAGTTACATATGTTACTACATGTACTTACTATAGTAATAACAATAAATTATGCATAATTACTAGTAACCTCCTACTACTACTACTACGGGCGAGGTTGTGAAGACACGTTACTGTCCCATGAGAGGCCATGGGAGAGGATTTGTGAATGTCAGAGCAGCGATCGCAATGGGTGCTAGTAGGTCACATGGTAATGACAACATGGTGAATAGTACGTCCGTATTACAATCATTCATACTACACACATTCATACTATATAGAGCTTATTTTTCTAGGGGTCGCAAAATACTTATTCATAATAAGTACCTACTCAAGAGAGTATGCGATTTCAAACGCAGTAATAATCTCTTCACAGATTACTTGTTTACTGGCGTGAGGGCGGGGCAACCTGCCACTCACATGAGATCACAGCAATAGCAAACCACAACCATCCAATCAATTGCCACCTTACATTTTTTCTTGTTCGAAAAGACGTTTCACTCGGATATACGTCACAATAGATAAGAAAAGACGAGCACAACTTCCGTTTCATGCCAACTTTAATCAAAAATATTGTTAACTTTTCCACAGTACCCCGAGTTCAGTTGTTTGAAAACAATATCAGTACTATTTACATTCCAGTGGACTAAAAGATGCCTATGATTTGGAAGACGTCAGGTGGATAAAAAACTGAACATCCTTGCACTACATATTAAATGTTTTCATTCGTAAACACACAAAGCAAGGGTCACTTACTGTGTCTCCTCTCAGGACATGCCATTCCTCATTTGCAATAGGTTCAACAAACACCTTTCTTCTTTTCTTGCCTGGTGGATTGAGCCGCTTGGCTGCGATCGTCCAAGGTCTGTTTGTCCCGTAACGATAATCATGTGGACATACAGCTTTTGCTGCCATCGAAAGCAGCGCTGTCAGTCTCATACTGCGGTGGACAATTAAAAAAAAGATGTAAATTATCTATCTGTGGAATCTACTCTTGTGAACACATATGTCATGCATTTCATTTCATCTTAAAAAAACATATTTGGGTGGTAAGTTATATTCCCCACTGAGAGTTTGTAATACTAGCAGCGGCATCTTCAATAAAAGCGGTCACTTTCTTGGGCTTTGTAATGAGTGCATGAGGCTTTTAAACGGATCCCATATAATACAGTGGCACTCTACCTACCTGAATTATTGCTGCTGCTTTTAGAGGCACATTTATATAAAATAACTAAATTAATTTGTAGTAATCAGAAATCCATCACCCACAAGGGTCAAACTTGTGTAGAACATGCGCTACTTCCTTTTCCTTTCGAGACAAGTGATGTAGTGTCAAAATAAAAGTCTCGATTGGTGTTAAAAAGAAAGAAAAGACAAAGCAGCATAAATTGCGTCAGGGTATCAAATTAAATTCTGAATTGTTTTAATTTGTTAGGATATTTGCTTAATAAAAGCAATAGCAATTGCTATAATAATGATAATTTGTAGCAATAAAAAATGTAGCAATAATCTATAATAATTCTCAAACTCTTCCTGAAAGGTTTTGTTGGCACGTGTGTTTATAGATATAGACATTTTCCTACCCCTGACACGTTAAAGCTTAATTTAAATTAATTTTTTAAAATGTGATAACTGGAGTGAAATATAAAAAAATGTGAGTGTAAAAATCTTTTCATATTCCTAGAATTTAGTTGAGTTTGACATTAATTAACGGGTTTTATTAATGCTTTCAGTACATAAAAGTAAATACCAGGTAAGTTACCTTTGAATTTGTAAAAAACTAAATATTAAATATTACTACTTTAAGGCTAATTTGATATTAATATCACCATACAAAAGCATATTAATAATTTTCTAAATTTTAGGAAATGTCCATCATTGTGTCCAATAACAATGTAGTTGTTTATATTTTAATGAAAATGTACACAAAAATGATAGTTGCCTGACAGAATATTAAAAGGATTCTCTTTTCTTTTCTTTTTTGCTCGCATAAAACCATTAACCAATCAAATCGCCCTTTCATTCTGTATCCAAGTAGGATGACTCAGACCAGCCAACTAGCGTCGAGCTTTGCTTTGTAGTCAGGCAGACATAACACAGTCGTCCAATCACAAAATAAGCCGAAAGGGGATTTTTGCTCTATATTTGTCTCAGGTAGTTTCTTTTTCGTTTATAAAATAAACGGTATCATTATTTTGTATTTGAATGAGATATTGCAGTAGGTAAACTTTGTACAATGATAATGGGTATTTTTTTTATGAGAAAAGCCAGGTATTTTAATGTAATAATCGAAGGTTTTCGAGGCGTACAAGTGTGGCTAGCTAGCTCTATAGGAACAGCCTGGCAATGATATTACCGATAGCTAGCTTTTGCATACATATACTAAAAGCTAAAGTTATTTATTATTTTATTTTTTACAAATTATGTCATTACATTTTGAATTATAGTAAAATAACTTCGTTTTTTGTCGGTTTCGTTAAGTCGACGTCTCTTCGGCCTGTTCGAACTCACGTTAGCCTATTAGCTGCTAAGTCACACTCATTCAAACTAGGCTGCTGTGATGTTTATTTCTAGTGCTCAATGTCAGACAAGTTGCGTTTGAGAATTTGGTTAACTTGCACTAAAATGAGCTTTTGGTCATAAATAACCAATGGCCTCGTCTAGTTTCTGGTTGGTTGGCCTTTCTGTACGCCCACATAGAGATACACATGGGTGTAATCAAACAGAACTGTGCATGTCTCATGTATGCTAGTCGTATATTAGATTAAATCATGCATTTAAGTGATAAGGAGTGATCGGATTTGATCCTGGTATCATGCATACACCGGCCGAAAGCATCAGTATCTTATGTTGAGATCTTCATTGGAAGCGTGTGTGCTGAATATGAGCAAATGTCTGGACTGGGGCAGGAAAAACAGCCCTGCAGTATTTGGGCATGGTCGCTATCCGATTGACCTGACAACAGTTTCATGAGTGGCTGTATTTTCAAAACGGGGAAAATGTCTTGAGCGTTTAGGCGTGGGAGAATTTAGGCGCTTGCGTGGTTTTATTGCGTGTTTACAGTCTCTAGCTGCATGTGTAAACATGGCCTAAATATGCTAGTTTGTAGTGAAACTGATGATCATTTACAGACATCTGACGAGTTGATTGTTTACCTGTAAGCAGTTTGTTCTAAGACTATCTGGAGACTGTATGTTGTTGTGCATATTAAAGAAATACTATAAAACAACAAATGTGCTTTTTAAAAACCTAATACCACAAATATGGTCTAAAAACTGCAAACACTCTACAACTTTTACTGTTGACATTTAGTTGCATTAATCAACAGTAGAATTGTGTTAGTTAAGCCCTGGTTGCATCTCTCAATGAACCTATAATTAATTTACTTTTGTAAAATATGCTGTTGCACATCAGACTCTAGAACTCTAGAAAGTTAGCCGAAACCTAATGTGATCACACATTAACATGTGCCTCATATTCTTTCTAGAGCTTCAGGTCCAGGAGGGTTCTGAATGCAGTTTGTCAGTCCAGTGTGGTTGAGACATGGCAGAAGATCAGTTAAAGACAGAAGCCTCGGCTGGGGAGGGGGAGACAGAGCCCAGTATGCTGCTGCAGAAGCTTAAGAGCAACATTTCGTAAGAACTACTACTTTTTACTCTTTCTTCATTGTGTTTCAGATACTATCTTAAATCTGAATTAAAAAAATACAGAAATTCTGTCATTAATTACTCACCTTCATGTCGTTCCAAACTCATAAGTCTTTCATCTTCGGAACACAAATGAAGATCTTTTTGATGATATTTGAGAGCCCTCTGTCCCTCCTTTGACAGCTACGCAACTACCTCTTTGACGCTTCAAAAAGTTCATAAAGAGATCATAAAACTAATCCATATAAATCAAGTGGTTTAGTCCAAATTTTCTGAAGAGACACAATTGCTTTATACGCTGAACAGATTGAATTTAGGCTTTTATTCACATATCAAACATTCATCAATTTACACATCAGTTATGGTAAACAGACACTCAAGTATGTTCGCCAATGAGGTTCATTCTCGTGTTACGCAGCACGTTTGATCTTCAGCAAGAACCAATGAGGTTCATTCACGTCACGTATTAAGTCTTCATGTGTGTGAAGTCATTAATTAACTAAATTGTTGAACCAACGTGGTTCGAATAATGGATGTGTGACAAAGTTACTATGTTTTCGGGGAAACAGTTGTGACTAGCTAGTTAGTTTCTCCAATGATGGTACTATGGTACTTAAGCAGCAAGTTACGTCATTGTGTGATGAACCCCAGCAGCTACATTGGCTCAGCTAGTGGTTCATTTGGACAAGGCTTCTTTTTTTGTGACCAGTGGCAGACAGTATAGAGTTTTTGTGAAACCTTTTTTAAAATGGTCATTATTGATACTAATTGCACAGAAATTAAAAACTTTTTTTCAAAATTTCTCTCTTTTTTTTACCATTATTACCAGAAATGTTAGAAAAAAGAAAGAAAACATTTTTCTTTTCCATCTTTATTTGCACAAATATACATGTATGTTTCTTATATTTTTTATTTTTCCACAGTAAAAATGTGCAGGGCAAAGTGGACAAAATTTTGGTAAGTGGATAAAGTATAATGAGATTTCAGTCTTCTGAAATTGTATAGTTGATATCAAGTGTATTTTCCGTTATAGTCGTTATATTCTTATAACAAGGATATAACAGAGTGACACTTTTTGTTAACTATAGTGTGAACACTGGAGAAACACTCAAGTATCTCATCAAGGCACAATTGTGGTAAATTATATTTGAACCCACAACTATTACATTAGCAGTTCAGATCTATAACAACTAGGCTGCCAATCATGTTTATATTGTGTTACAACTGTGTCTTATTGTATAGTATAATATTACTCGTTCAGTTTACATGTACATTTGCAGTGTTTTTGAGCACATTTTTTCCCCTCATTTCTCCCTTCTCCTTGTGACATGTCTCCTCTCAGGAGGATGTACAGCGCTTCTCTGACAACGACAAACTCTACCTTTATCTACAGCTACCCTCAGGTCCAAGTGCAGGAGAGAAGAGGTACAGGTCATAAAATCACACAAATATACTTCAGTCAGTCTTGATCCATTTGTTTAAACTAGAATGCTGTATTTATTTATTTATTTTTACTTTCTGAATAGTAATATTTGAGGTCCTTATTTAAATCCTAGCCAATCAGGCGAGCTAAAAATTACACTGATGTGACAAGAAATGTTATATGTGAAACAACATGTTTACAAACTGCTTTTCTGTGTGCACCAGTGGTGATTCAAACTCGGTCAACACAGCAGACCAGCTTCACACCTGTAACTGGATCCGTAGCCACTTGGAAGAACATCCTGACACCTGCCTGCCTAAACAAGATGTTTACGAGACATACCGGTAAGGACTGATTGGTTGTCGGAAAAGTATAGGAATCATGGAGTACACCAGGATTATTCTTGCCTATTTCAAAATGATCTCAGAGTTTCCCAGTTGTAAATACGACTTGAGAGAGCGTTCATGTCTTAGGCTACGTTCACACTGCAGGCTGAAACGACCCAATTCCGATTTTTTTGCCCCTATGCGACCTGTATCTGATCTTTTCATGACAGTCTGAACGACACAGATCCGATCTTTTCAAATGCGACCCAGGCCACTTGGGTATGTGGTCCAAATCCGATATGTATCCGATCTTTTGAAATGCGACTTCAATCAGAACGGCCAGGTCACATGTATCCGACCCGCACGCCATTGATATGCGACAAACGTCATAATTCTGCGTTGAAGTAGGCGGGAATGAGAAGATAAACAAGTTTGCTATCGTACGATAGCACGCACCTGTAGCTAGCCACTACACTCCAACGCATTGCACTGTTATGGTCCGCCGCAGACGTGTCTCTTCCCGTGACAGAGTTAATCGAAGGTGCTCAAACATAATCGAAGGTGGATCTGGTCATTCGGAAGTTACTGATGAATTCTGTATTAGTGAAGCCACTCACATCAGTATCCCACCACTCCTGGCTGCGACTCCGCACCCACACAAAAAACTTTAATATTGCTAAACGAGCTCCACTGTTGACATTCATGTTTAGCTACTTCTGCAAACAAGTGACGTCGTTGACCGTTGAGTACTCTTCTGCGCATGCGGGTCACTTCTGGGTCATTTCACGTTCACACAGGAGATCACAAAAGGTCGCATTTAATTGGAAATGTGAACGCCTTGCAAAAAAATCGAATTTTTTCAAAAAATCGGATTTGAGCATTAAGCCCCTGCAGTGTGAACGCAGCCTTATTTACGACTAGGAA